TACCACTCTGAACCCTATCCATTAGGGCGGTGAATTTGTCATTTTGTTCCTTTTTGAGCGCAGAAAATATTTTCATAATTTCTGACCGCCTAATATCAGTATCTCTCTTACGTTTCCGTATTGCAATATTAGGATCGCTCGTAGCCTGCGCGCGTGAAACGGTCGGCACAGCAATAGTTGTTTTTGTCGGTGAATCGGCAATATTAGAGTCTGATTTACAATGCAACATTGCAGTTGGCGTAGTAGGCCGTGTACGTTTAAGCGGCATAGCAGCTAGGCGTGCGCAAACGGCAAGCAGAAGCAATGCGCGTAGGCACGTGGTCGTTATACAAGTATGCAGCTGCGTATGTGTGCAGTGGGTAAATTAAATTTATCAGAGTGCAAGTGAATGCGTGTTAGATTCACTCACCATTAACACTGAGCGACGACACAGGCTTCTTATAGTTTATGCCCTCCTATTATTTCGTGCAATTTAACACTTCACAATTTCGAAAATTTTTAATTATTTGAAAAAAGAACTAAGTGTATCACGTCTGTTCAGCACAGAGATCCGGGGGAGAAGCAATCCCATTCATATTACTACCCATTTACATTAGAAATTACATCCATCCAACCTACATAATATGATTATATACATATATATTCCTTAAACATCGTGAGGAAACCTGCATGTCTGAGGAATAAGAAAAAAAATATTTCGAAGACATGTGAAGTTCGCCAACACGCATTGGGGCAGCGCGGCGGACACTTCCTTGCCCTAAAACCCTCTCAGAAATGAGGGAGGCCTGTGCCCAACAGTGGGACGTATATAGGCTTTATAAATATATATATATATATATATATATGTATATATATATTTCCTTGCCAAACAACCTAAACCTAACCATTATACCCAAATCCAAATGCCTCGCACCTGGAAGAAGATTGCAAGAAGCTGTCAGAAGACTCTGCAATCACTGGATACTAGAGCCATAGTGAAATCTGAAGATTGTATCATTTCACTCATCAAGCATATAGATGGTAACTGCACTCGTGCACGCATGAATCTGAAGCGAGGAAAATTGCAGAAGATTAAAGACAATAAGTGGTTGGTAGTATCAACGGAACCAGAAGTTATAAAAACCCAATGCGGACAGAAAACAGAGTATAGGAAACTATCAGGAATATTCTTCATCAACCTAACACAGGACTGTCAAGTTAATATCATTAATACAACGATAAGAACACACACTAGCAGCGTCTCTATGGACGAAGTCATCCCTCTACCCAACGAGAACCTGATACACCAGGAAGAAGTCTAGTACGAGATACATCTGGAAGACATCTCACTAGATAGTGTCCATGAACTTATGAACAAGGTTGAAGATATTCAAGAAATAGAAACCTAGAATTGGTCATATATGATGGCAATTCCCAGCTGGTCTAAAGTGCTTCTCTACATACTTGCAGCATCTATTGCAATCTGGAAGATATACAATTGGAATAAACCTCCAAGCAAAGCAAGTCGTGAGTACGCTCCTGGAAGCTGCAAAACCAGCTTCGAACTTAAGGAGGGAAGAGTTAACTCGTCGTAACCCTGTAATCGGGCTGACATAACAGTTACACGAACAATGGACATATGTGGAATGTTTGCGCTTCGAAAAGTATCATTATGGAAACAATGGAACTGTCTCGCAGTCTGACACCATCCACATAACTTAACTTCTTTTTGTAAATCTACAATTTGTTTGAATTAATTATTTTTGTTGCTTTTCTGAAATTAATTTAATTATATTTTTTAAAAAGTCTTTCGATCGCCGCGATATCGTAACTATCTCTTTGTATTTTTTTTCGCATACACCATGGGGAATGCTCTGAGGAATTGTTCGGATTGATCCCAGCCGCCAAATTTCGTGAACGCACTACGCGGCAAACATCCCTATACCATCCACACCATCTGGATGCTTGGCGGTCCACCACTGTACGTTTCAAAAGGAGTTTTCTTCCGCGTACAACCTCTCTGTGGAATAGTTTACACCGGCGGTTTTTCCGGACCGATACGACCTGGGGACCTTCAAAAAAAAAAAAGCTTACTCCTTTCTAAAGGGCCAGCAACGCACCTGCAAATTAAATAAATTATTAATGTTTACATGCTGTATTTTTTACTATTTCTTGACAGCCCTAAGTAACCACGGGAAAACAGCCGTGATGTAGAAAGAGGAAAAAATGCAAAATAATACGGATAAAGGTTTATTAGTTTACGTGCGGAAATTATCTTATTAATAATAATTATGTAGGCTATTAAACGTCGGCAAGCAGTCAACATCAAAAGAGTGAAACTTCTGTATGTAGTATTATTATTTTTTCTGGGGTAAAATGAACATCACTTTAGTTCGTGCCAAATCGATTGGGAAAAACGGACAATGTCATGTGTCAAAGGCGTAACTTACAAAATCTCAATTTAGATGTGATAAAAATATTTAAATATTGATTTTATATATTAGAATTATTTACACTTCTAGGTAAACACATATGTTTTGTTTTTTTGTTTCTTTCATAATATTGTATGTGGTTCCTATAAACATCGTAAAATCTTATGGTACATCGTGAAAAATGTGTTATATTTTATATTTCAATTTATGGTAAGTAACGCAGCAATTTATTTAATAACAGTTTCATATTAAAAAAAAGTATTTAGAGCAATATAATCATCACATTGATCTTTTGAAAATTCATCCCTTTAAAATAAACAAAACGCGCGTTACGTCAATTCGTTCCAAAAGAAGCGTCACAATGGCAGCCAGAGATGCGTCACTCGGGCAAGCCCGCATGCACCGAATTAAAATAAAGTTCTTATATAATATTGAAATAAAGTTTTATTTTTTGAATAAGTTTTTTTAATATGTTTTTAAAAAATATTAGTAATCCTATTAATTAACATTACTAATATTCCTTTAACCACTCCTGGTAAGCTTTGTTAGGAGTGGTTCACGACAGTAGTCGAATGGCGGATTCGAACCCACGACCTTTTGAGTTCGCGGTCTGAGCCCTGCCATTAGGCTACTGTCGCTTTGAATAAGTACGTCCTTATTCGGTGTCGTTATCACTCGAATCTTATATGTGTTATAAATTAATGCTTTTTGTTGTTAAATGAATAAAGTACTTTATAACAATAGATGATTTTTCTTCTACAGCGATGTTATGTAAAAGACATAACTTTTTGATAATAGTTAATAAATATATATTATATCATTCATTATTAAAAAAAACATCATTATAAATAAAGGAATCACTACATATAAAAAGTGCCTATATATTGAAGGTTTGTAGACCCTGGTTAAACGACCGAAAGGTCAATGTCCGTTTTTCTCAGTCGATTTGGCACGAACTATAGCTAAAGCACATAACATGGAGGTATAGCCCGCCTGTCCGTGAAAATTGTAGAATATACAGCGGCGCTGATGTCGGTGTGTAGTAACTGCGAAGTTAGCTGTTTATGAGTACAAATAGATGAAGTTAGTTGAATAATGTACACATTTTCTTCGCCGCATTGGTGAGAAAATTTTCATGCTCCGTAATTTTGCAATTTTTAGACAAAAAGAAACAATAAAATATAATTGAGAAATATTTTATTGTGCGTGGATATGTAAATGGTTTAGCATCTGATCAGAAAATAGACTGAAAATGACTTTTATGAGCGAACTTAGCGATCGCAGCGCCTCACTTATGGTGTCCATAATTCTGGGACACTATTTTCTACGGCGATCGTTCTCCAACATGCATGGCAGACAACGACAAATACAATTGGTCGCGCGTTTTTGTGTAGACTCTATCTACGCGTTTTTGGGCTGTCAGGTCGTTTATACGCGTAGAAATAGAAATCTATAGACTAATCATTAGCGTGTCCTCGAGTGAGAAAGAACGATAACGTAGTTTTACGTTATACAATAATCTTTATGACTTTTAAATATATTTAGATAAAAATTTTAACCGTTCTAAGAACTGAACTGAACAAGATTCACCAATATCAAGCTCACAAAACACTTTTCTCTTACTTAAACCAACTTGTAAACTCCTTAAATCGCTACGAACTGTCAAAGTTGTTTAGCAAAGTGTAGTTTGCTAAACAAAAAACCGGCACGGAGAAAGGGACAAACAATGATACCGCTCTGTCTCATTTCTATGCAGGACGTATGCATAAATCTATCTTTTTCATGTGCGAATGCGAAGAAGGCGTTAATTTGTCTATAGGTTTATCTGTCCACGTTTAAACGCCAGTATATTTTAGTCTATGCTCGTACCTTTTACAGAGGGGTATGTCCAGGTATGCCTGGCGATGCCGTCTACTTTGGCTTAATACCAAAGTTTTAGTCGTGAAATTACTAAGGGTATGTTCCGAAATACAACCCAGTACACTAGCAAATGCAAATGACGTCATCAATTGACACTATATTGTACTGGCGTGCTGCCGCTATATTGCGTCGGATATCCTGCCACAATAAAACAATTTTTAACTGTGTGTGCGCTGAAGGAAGCATGCCAGAATTTGTTTTTATTTACTCAAATACAAAAAATTATAGAATAATTGGTGGTATCTACATTAGGAAGATGTAATGATTTTTGGAGCACAAAATGACAAAATAATCGCCGACACTTTTCCAATATGGCGTAAATGTATGACGTCAAATACTGTCCTATGTGCTGGAACGAATCACCAGTATAGCGTCGATTCATGACGTCGTTTGCATTGGACAGTACACTGGGTTCTATTTTGGAACATACCCTTTATATTTCTGGACGCATCCACTAATGTCATCCCGGTAGAAGAAAATGACAGCGTCAAAGTCATATCATGTCATAATATCAATTTCATTGATTGATGAAAGTTACGAAAAGTTTGTTTTGTAATTTGTATTGTACACATAGGCCGTAGATAAAAGGATAGGTTATTTTAATCAAGACTTATTATAAATGTGAACGTACATAAAGTGATTGTTTGCGGATAACATGATATAATTAAAATGAGTGTACTACTTATATTTTTATTTATTATCGTGGCAATTTACATTTGTGTTTCATGGTACGTTAATGTTTTTTTAAGATTATGTTGTTGTATGTTTTTAAAAAAAATTTAAGTTCACTAACGGACGTATAATTTTACGAAAGATGGTTTTCCTTGAACTTAGATAAGTATTATATTTCTGTAATTTTGATCACTTTTTTTTGATAACACACATGATTTTATTTGCAATGCTGTGTTAAATACATAGCCAGTTTTCGAAGGCGAATACACAAAACCAACTTTGACCATCAGTTCTCAATTTAAAAAAAATCTAAACATTCTATTAAGTGTTAAATAAGACTATTAATTAATGTAGTTTTTTATTCAAGTTACTTTTATTTGTTTATGAATGTTCAAATGGATCTCATTTATAAAATCATTATTTAAATATCTGATTCATATAAATTTTAAACATTTTAACTTTATCATCATTAAACTATCTATTACAGCTTTAAGCCTTTTGCAACTTGGTTAATAATGTATGAATAAAATAATGTTGTTAGGATGCTTTGTACCTATGATTTTAAAGTTTTACACTTCATAATGACATTGTTTACAGGATACGGTGTTTATTACCATCACAATCATCATCACAGCTCTTCATAAGTCTATTGCTGAATATAGAATATAGCCAAAGAATGCCACCATGTTTACAGTGTTTGTTAAATGTTGTAAAACGCTTCAATGGTAATTGTATTAGCTTAGATTATTGGCTACTTAAGCATTTTAAGCTTAGCTGAAGCAGTTAATGGGAATATAAGTAATTTTAATAACATTGTTAAGTACTATTTTTCTTTAAAAAAATTGACCTCTTTCCCACCTGATGGAAAGTGATGATGAAGCCCTAGAAGGTAAACCACAGTCTTTTAGCATAACAAAAGCCTATTCACTCTTGTCTTGAAGACACAAAGATTGTATCCAGACTGAAAGACAGACATCACCAAATTATTCCATTCTTTGCTCTACACGTTACAAAAGTTGAAGCAAATCATTTGTTTTTAATGTGTGGAATATCAACAACAAAGGGGTGAAGACTGTCATAATGTGTCCAGGGCATATTAAACATGAAATTTCCTTTTATACTTTGTTTGACAGAGTATGCTGCTAAGTTGTGTGTGTTTGTCACTTTGTGACAAGTGTGACAAAGTTGTTGTAATTGTTGTTGATAATTTTCTATTATGTCCTGTTATATTTCTGTTACTCTTTGTGTGAATCATTTCATTAATTTTTTGCTTTATGTAATTAATGCCTTGTTTCCTTTAAAGGTTGTTACCAACTTTACTTGCATGGTTGTTCAAGAGAAAATATCATATCAAATTGAAAATTGGCAGAATAGCAGTACCAAAGCTTATATTACGTGATGTTAGTTTATCAAAAGATGGATACTCTATTGTAAGTTTAATTTCTTGAACTTTTTATAGGTGTGCTTATATGGATATTTCCTCCTGATGAATTCCCGTTACGGCCATCAGTCTAAATGGAGACCAGCCATCTGCACAGGTAGAATTATAGTGCATGAGTGTGAGCACAAACTCTGGTGCCCTCTCTGTTCCTTCACTCTCATGTATACTTATACTACTCACATAAATGTACAAAGATCAGGCACAGGACCTACAACTTTACATGCTTTCCAAGACACGGGGGGGGGGGGGGAGGGAAGCAACAACAACTACCACCAACCTAATGGAAAATCCTAATTACTGTTTTTCTCCCAACTGGGGATTCAAACCTGGAACAATGATCAGCAGTCATGCTTAGTTACCATCAAAGAGTCAACAACAATGAAAAGATACAACATATTCATATTGTTGATATTTGGATCTGTTATGATTTTCCTAACATCTCTAACAATGTATTCAAGTCAAGTTACAGCTTTTATACATCCTATTGCTGGACACAGGCCTATTGTCATATCTAAGACAGCTTTTAGGGTAAAGATCCAAAGAACTCTGCACTTATGCATATTTGCAGACTTCACATGTATTTGAAATGGACATGTGAAAATTAGGTGTTTATACACCTAATTTTATGTACCTATCTATAATTATAAGGATGCACTGTATCCGTCCATCTTGCATCCATCAACTTCTTGTATATGTTACCAGGTTGTCACTAACTATTATGTTTGCACATACTTACATATATGTATTATATATAAGTAAATTTAAAATTTTATAATATGTGCAAACAAACTTACATTAAATTTCTTCATTTAAAAACAATTGTGTATGAATTTTGTAAATGGAAAAGAATGTTAAAGTTACAGTCTATGTACGTCCCACTGGTGGGCACAGGCCTCCTTTCATTTCTGAAAGGGTTTTAGGGCAAGGAAGATGTGTCTTCCAAATTTTTTTTAATTATCCAAAACGCAGGTTTCCTCACGATGTTTTCCTTCACCGCGGAGCATATGGTAAAGCAGCACTTAAAATTGCAATTAACAATTTCACTGGTGCCAGCGGCGATTGAATATAGATTATTTGCTCATTGTGATATTTACAGCGAATGCTAAGCCTTTGAGCTACCACGGCTCATAAATGAATGTAATTCTTTATAAATATTTCATACAAGGTACTCTTATAGTAAGAACAAAGGCAAGTTTATGTATGACAACATAGAAATTCCTAGGATGTGGAATGCAAAATGGAGATAAGAAATTGGTATTGTATTATAAATTTACAATAACACTTCACTGTTACAGCAAACTTTATAATAATATAGTACTATAGCAATAATATAGTACTTTATAATAATATAGTAGTATATTTTACATTTATTTGTACTAACAAGTATATTTTGAAATTGTTTCTAATTCTGGATTCAAGTGCGCATGCATGCATCCCTTGTACATAATATTTATATTTATGTTATTCAATTTCAGCATATTGGTGAAGTATCCTTCCGCAGCAGTTTTTTCAATTCAGATATCAATAAACTGGTCTCTGTTGTTATTAATAAGATTCAAATCACAAACAATGCAGAAGAGAAGAGAAGTGTGGTTGTGGAGACCATTCTCAAACCTTTGTTATCAAAGCAGAATTCGACTTCTAGAGGATTGGAAGAAAATGCTGCTGAAATGCAGGCATTCAATAGAGAGTTGGCAAGAATGAAACAAAACTTATTAGACTTCCGGAACAAAAAGTTACCGCCCAGTCTGATTATGTTTGCTCAGGTATGAAACTAAGTATGAAATTAACTCCTAAAATTACCAAAATTTGGGCAAATGAATTTTATAATATTTTATATTATGATTTTATCATATCATCTAAGCTCTGCAACTGTAATAAACCGTTTTTGTTTTTAATACTTATTATTTCTTAAGTATACAGTATGTCCGGTCACGGACTAGCAATATTCTAGGTACTTATATTAAAATTATTTTAATACACAAATGCACTACACACTGAGGTCTAATCCCCTCCCCCTCTATGTGACGGCCAATTTGTTATTTTTGTGTGATATTCTCTATGTGTATACGTGGTAGAGCCATGCTGCAGTTATATTAGTAGTATAGTTGTAGCACGAATGGGTCGGCTCGACCGGGGAAAGACCACGCTCTCACGGAATACCAGCGTGAAATAGTAGCTTAATGCTGCTGTATTTCGTATGGTGAGTGTAGAGAACCGGAGACCCTTTTTACTGGAAATGAGGCATTCCATCTCAGTCCTCACGGGTGACAACGATCTCATTTTGATTTGTAATGGAAGATAGATGTAGATATGGATAAAAAAAATAACAATGAACAGAGAACTATGAAATTCACAAGAGCTCTGGCATTACAAATCTGAAATGTTCAAATCTGGTGCTCGACAAATCCTATTAAATATTTTTTTTAAATTACGAGTATGTGAACAATTGTTTTTGGTAATGTAACCACATATACAATATTGTTGCCCTTCGAATGAGCCAATTTTTATCTCAGTAAGACCAAAACTTTGAGAGATATGAATTTTTTTGTATACACATAGAGAATATCGCATGAAAAAACAAAATGGCTGTCACATAGAGGGGGAGGGGATTAGACTTCAGTGTGTATTTGAGTATTAAAATAGCTGTAATATAAGTACCTAGAATATCTCTAGTTCGTGACCGGATACACTGTATAAAGTGATAGCTGTTGAATTGATATAAATTATAGGTTCTATTGACTTAAAATGATTGAGTAAATGGGGCTAAAATTATATTCTAGAATGGCTTTAAAAATGTAATATATAATTGTTACTTTAATTAAATCAAATGATTCTGAAGCAAGTTGTTGAAATGTGTTTTGTTTTTAATGTAAAATATTATCCTTCTGTGATTTTTGATTTAGTTTTTCCACCATTTGTTGGATATAACAAAATTGTTCATGTACATATTTCCTATTTTAGGAAAATATATTGATAATTGTATTTAGTAATTTTAGGGAGGTTAAATGTTAGTTCGTCATGTAGAGGTGACCTAAGAAACTCGCGTTCTTTTGGGTTGGACATAAATGCTCATAAGAAACACAGTCATGTTCATTATTGGATTATTTATAATACTTTTTGTACTGCTGTCATGTTTTTCTCTTATCCTGATGGTTCATATATATAAAATGCATATTTTATAAGTACTCCGTTAAACTAAGAAGTTGATAAAAAATTTATTGTAATGTATGTAGAGCTCGGACAGCTGTCATGGTGGCGATTGGTTCATTATAATTAATGCCCAAATACTCAAACGCTACTCAATTTTAAAACGTCGTTAAGTCTCGTGCTGTCTCTATCACTTTCAGTCAAAGTGACTGTGACACCATGAGACTTTAAAGATAACTGGATTGAGTGCTATGGGTGGGTTTTTTACATGGGGAAATACCTACGCATACTAGCCTTACGGGGGTTAGAACGGGTTAGTTGGACTTGTACCGACTAAAATCCCATGGTGTAGGACATAATTATGTAACATATTAAGTAAATAATTGTAACCGGTTTTTTTTTTCAAAAAAAAATATGTTGTTTTCTTGTTGGTTTTCCCCAGGACAGACATATTTTCCGAACCAGTGGTAAATTAAAACATAAGAGTGACTTTCAATACGTACTTATTAATAATAATCTATAATGAATAAAAAAGTCTCTGTTTCTATTTATTTGCCGCGTTTTGCTAGGGCCACTGGAAAGTTTTCGTACACATGTGCGGCTCCACAAGCCCCGCGGGTTTGTGCGCAACTATAAGACAGGTAGGCAGCCCTATGAGCGCGTTCAGTAAGCTTACCTTACCCAAACCTTAACAGCCTATCAAAAGTCCATTTCTGAACATAGACCTCCTCCATAGCTTGTCTCATAGGAGGAACACTAGCCAAGGCCAACGATTTTTGTTATGTATTTTTATTGCAAAATTAGAGAAAATTCCACAAAAATGGTGTTTTTAATTTTTTATGGGTCGGCTCGACCGGAGACCAGGGACCAGGCTCTCACAGAATACCAGCGTAAAATAGTAGCTTAATGTTGCTATCTTTCGTATGGTTAGTGTAGAGAACCGGAGACTCTTTACTGGAATCGAGGCATTCCATCTTAGTCCTCACAGGTGATAACGCTTCTGCATTTTGATTGTAATCTATGGTAGATGTCTATGAGCCAGCAACTATTTACCATCAGGTGGACTGTGTGCTTGTTGGTCACCATTATCTTTAAAAAAAATTGACTCGCCGAAAAATAGGCCGGTCGGCTATGCCGTTTAACTTAATAGTTAATTTTCTGCTTAACTCAGTCATTGCCGTTCAAACGAGATTTTCTACTCAACTCGTCAGGTTCGCAAGTTTACTCGCTATTGTAATGTCGAAGTGTAAATTAACCTTAAGGGATCTTACTTTTTCTTTCAATTTCGAGCGGGTCTCGCTTAATTTTGACTAAAATTGTCATATATAGGCATTGTGTCGTCGCCGATAATTCGACCAAAAATCACCAAACAAATTGTTTTTATGGTCCCATACTAGCGACATATCAGAAAAAAGTGGATGATCGTTTTATAGAGATTAGATTTCACATTTGATATCACACTGCCATCGGGGTGTAAAGGTCTTTATGAGTGCATTCAAAAATAAATATACTTAGATCACTAATATTTGCTATTACTAGGGCTTACCTAATTAAATTTTGTTTATTTTATTATAGTCGATTTTAGCAGATAGTTTGCCACATTATTTGTAACATTCATAAAAAATTCAATAAAAATCTTGTATAGCACAGGCAAGACTACCAAGCTTGATAGCCGCATTTAAAGACTGTGTGTGAAATATTTCTAGCTATTCTTAGAACCTGAATAACTATTTTGAATAAACATGGCTCTAACAATATAAAAATATTATTCATACGGTAATAAATCTATCCAGAATCGTTTTCGCTCAGAAATTGAACCCGGAGGCCCTGATAGTAAGTGAGCGGGCCTAAATTATTAGGAAATTTCTATGTAAAAATAAATGCGTCTATTTCTTACAAGTTTATTTCTTACTACACTTTTCGACTATTTGGATCCTGAGCTTTGTTGCAACAGTTCCGATTTAGGTACGACATTACATGTAATATTCCTAATGAACCGTCTACTACTTCATAGATAAGTTAATGCTAAGGTAGCTTGCTGCCATCGTTACTATTTTTAATAAATATTGAGCTACCATAAAACCATTCACTTTAGGTAAATTGTCAGATTGACCTTTTTCATAGCTGACTTCCATGTTAAATTGTTAAAATTAACATCCTTACAACAACTCTTATAAATTTAAAATTAGATAGGAAAATAATTGCGGAAAAATAAGCATGTTCGACCGTTGTGTACATAGGTGAAAGGCTGAGCAGAGAGAGACGGGAGAGGTGATAACACACCACCCGCGCGCGAACTCTCGGGAATTTGAAAAAGCGCTCCAAACTTCTCGTAGTAATAACTTCGCTATTACCTCCTGCATGTATTGAAGTGGAACAAAAACTAGTGTGATGTACGTAAAACAAGCTTTTGTAATAGAGCTTAGGCTTATTGCCATAGCTGCCAGGATTGGCAAGCGGGTTGGCAATCGCAGTTTTTATTTTATTCAACTGTTATCAGGAAGATGTTGCTGCCCATCTGCTGTTAGTTTCCTTCTGTCGCCTCTTACGACACCCACAGGATCATACGGGGTAGTGGATATTTTTAAACTGGCACTGCACGGTTAGTAATGTAAACGGTACATCGTATGGTGTTTTGCAGTTCATGGGCGTGCACATCGTGGATCTGTCGCTGACGATCGTGAACGGGTGTCCGCGGAACCCGTGGGTGGTGGAAGCGGGCGCGGGTGAAGTGCGCGCAGACGGTGCGGCGGGCGGGCCGGCGCGCGCGCTCGCCTTCTGCGCGAGCGTGCTCCGCGCGCGTCTCGCCTACCGCGCACACGCGCGCCTCGAGGCCGCCGCCAGCCTGCACCTCGAGGGCACCGTCAAGGCTGACGGACCGCTCAACGTCGAGGTACGTGGTGCTATTGAACAAGTATAGCGTGTCTCTACATGGCTCTGTATAGAGTAGATCTCTACGTGGTCTCGAGGTAGGTGATGGCCTTGATGAATCAAATTCAAGTTTAAGTGAACTTACACGTCTACATGGCGCGTGCCTGTAGTCTGCGCTTTGCGATTTGCTATTGGACTTTTTTACGAAGCAGATAGGCCCATCAATATTAACTTATGTTAATGTGATTAATCTTGTGTCCTTGTACCTAGTTTTTTGATGTAATGCTCTTATAGACTAATCTAAAAAAGCATAATCCACCTTTATATTGCTGCAGTACATGACGAATTCTTATAGTGTTAGCTTTACCATAGACTAGTTAAAATGTGTGCGTGGGCACGTATACTGTAACAGCCTATATACGTCCCACTGCTGAGCACAGGCCTCTTCTCATTGCTGGAAGGGTGGTTTGCGGAAATGGAAAAGAAAGTCTGCCGCACTGTTTCGATGCGTGGTGGCAAACATCAACATATTTTTTTAGATTCTCAAACATGCAGGTTTCTTCACAATGCTTTCCTTCACCGTCAAATAGATGGTAAATCAGCATTCAAATTTGCAATTAATAATTTCATTGGTGTCGATGGGGATCGAACCCCAATTTCCCGCGTGCTGTAAAACTTACAGGGAGAGATTAGCTTCTGAGCTACCACGGCTTCTGAGCATAAGCATACTAATATAAAATAACGAATAAACGAGTAAAATGTTCTCTCCCATATAATTAGATTCACACAGAATATAATAACACATACAATAAGATATTGGAATCTATCTACATTAATTGGACTATCTGTATCTGTAAGATCACTAATCTAAATCTACTTTAAAAACCAAACCACACATTTTAGCTGCAATATATTATAAACAAAGAATGTTTTATGGGCTTGATTATTTCTCATACGATTCCAATTATAATCTGAAATCCATTCGCTAAGATACAATTGATTTCACGTATGGATGAGTATATCTCTACCGTAAAGTATATCTTTTTTTAATAAAAGTGATAATATTTTATTTTTCTATTAAACGAATATTTTGAAACAAGGTTTTTATTCTCACAAGAACTGATTACACAAATTAATACACTTACGTGACAGGATAACAACACGATGTTTCTAAATTATTTTTATTTACAGAAAATCCACATGGCTATAAGCAATCCATCCATATCGTTAGAAGATGATGTATTCCAATTTATACATAAACAAAGGAGACGAAAGACTCCGCAATCGAAACATTTTGTTGAAAATGACGATCACCTTAGCACTCTAATTCCGAGATTATCTCCGATTATACCAAAGGTAATGATGAATTAACCCTTAACTTATTGTAGTGCCTGACATTATTTTATGAAACAATATTGTTTTATTTACAGATTTTTAGTTTAAAAATCGATAAAACAACAATAATCACTGGGGGTAAAACCACTACAACTCTACAAAGTTTACAAGTAAGAAACAATTGTTTTAATAATGTATAAATACTTTTAAAAATCTGTATCCCTACCTACCTATATACCTAACCTACGTTAGTATAGCCCAACGCAGGAATTGGCTCAACCGGAAAAAACCGTATGTGAAATAAATGCATAATGTTGCTTTATTTAGTATGGTGAGTTACGAGTACAGGAGACATTTTACTGCTACCGAGGCATTTCATATTAGTCTTTAGGGGTGACAATGTGTGTGATGTAGGTGTCTATGTGCTATTTGCCGCAGCATTCGTTTATCCTCAGGTGGACTGTTTGCTCATTTATCACCTTCACTTCTATAAAAAATAAAAGTGGTAGGTTTAATTTTCTTGTTGGTAAATTATTCCATGATCCGGCCTCTAGGTAAGTACTGCTCGCAGAAAAATAAAAATCAGCTTGATGATCAAAAATAGATACCATTTCTTGTCACTAGTATTTAAGGCCTGCTATCATGGAGATACTCGAAGTTTTAGATGACATTATTATTTTTTAGAAAATTAAAAATAAAACTTTTGACATGCATTGGACTATGTGGTGATACTAGCAAATTTAGTTGTTTCATTTTGTTTATTTGATTCCTAGTCAACAAAAAAAATACCTATATAATTATTTTTTATTTTGAATGGGTTGCAGGTGAACTCACGTTTCAGCGCGGTGCAGGTGGAGGGTGAGGGCGATTCCGGCGTGCCGCAGGTGTACGTGGCCGTCCAGGCAGATCAGTTCCAGCTGGCCACGGACCAGGACACGCTGCTATTCCTCAACAAACTCAAGCTCGACGCTAAGGTTCTTAATTTCAGTGCTTTTAAAGCTTGTCGGTATAAAAAAGCGTAAGGCGGGAATCCACACAAGCTAAAATACATTGGGTGCGTTTGGCAGAAAAAAGCGCTAGCAAGCGCTTGTAAGCAAAATGGCGATCGTAAGCGGTAAGCGCTGCCAAATCGTAAGTAGCTATTTTCCTCTAGGACACGATGTTAGTTTTAACCTGGAAACTTAACCTAATTTAAATATGTTTGTGAAGTATTCATATTAAAAACTTACCAATCATGAATTTTTAATAACATGTATATGTCTACTCGTGTCATTATATTACTTAAAATTAATATTGCAAAAACAACTTATACACTCTACTTCAAAACAAACAAATTAAATAAGCAAAATGGCGGATTGTGTCAGCGCTACTGAAGTAGTAATCGTGTCCTGGCCGAAAACTATTTTAGCGCTAGTAAGCGCTTGCTAGCGCTTTTTTTTTGCCAAACGCACCCATTTTTTAACTATAAAAAAAAAAAACATCACTTTACTATAACAACTTTGATATTTTTTAAATTTATTCTCATAAAGAGTGCACATTATTTACATTTTAAATTTTGCCAAACTGTAAGCCGGTTTGTCAGCAACGCAACAGTTTATCGTTTCACACTCCTTAACAACAATATCTGGTACTTATAACTACTTAAATTAACACAAAAATAATTAAAGAAACATTCACCACTATGAACACAACGACAGATAATGTTTCCTCAAGATGGATTTGAGCTACGATATAGTTACGCTCTCGTCGTATATATCCGCTACCTCATTACACAAAGTTATAATTTTCACTTCTCCAATCTTTGTAAGTAGCGCTGTACTTAAAACTCTTTACTGTTCGCCGTGTAGTGGATGCGTAAGAAAATCTATTAATACGTACCATCCTGTGATTGTCGTAAGCGGCGACTGAGGCTAACTGAGATCGGAGATGGACAGCAATGTTTTCCTGACAATAACTCACATATACATCATGTAACGAAAACCCTGTGGTACCCGTTAAGTAAGTCAACAGAATCAGTATTGAAACAAGTAGAAATAACTTTTTTCGGAAAACTCGACTATTTTTTATTTTAATTTAAAAAAAAAAATAATTTGCAAATTGTCCGTGGTTTTATTACCTCTGCATTTTCCGGTGAGTAAGAGGATTGTCAAAGACCCCGCTTTACCGATCCCCATGTCAGATTGAGGTAATAAAAGCACATACAATTTGTAATTAAAAATTTATTTTAATGAAATCATATTTTAATGGTCGAATTTTCTGAAAAAAAAAATCTATACGTTAGAATACTGATTCTGATAACGCACTTAACGGGAATCACAGGGCTTTTGTTACATGTATACGTAACCGCGGTTGCCAAACCGCCTGCTAATCGTGGCAACTGTGGTAAATATCCCCCATTGAGGCAATCTATGTGACTTAAGGGGAAGGTTTTTGCATTTGTCCGCTTTATTCTGTTATTGTATATTATGGTAGAACCAATAAAGAACAATAATTACTTAAATTTACGCATACACTACATATTGAATAAAACTATTTATACGGATTTTATCGCGTTAATGAACTTACTTTTATCTCCCGACGTTTCAGGTGCTTTACAGCACCCATGGTCACGGGGAGGACTGAGATGTTTGGCGTCCCAATGTCAAAGTTAGCCCGGCTACCTTCACTTTTTGAATATTAATTTTTGGTCCGATTTACGCAAAACGAGATTACAGTATCTTGAAGTCTTGCAGTGAGATGCTTGAGTTTCGATTTAATTTGAAAATTAAATCTAAACCCAAACCCAAGCATACCATATTATTTAATTTAAAATTAAATACAACTCCAAGCACGGATGAAGAAACATGATTTGTAATACAATTTAATCAATAGAAATTAAATCATTATTTTGTTTTATATTCACTATAATAAAACTAAATAATTTAGATCTGTTCTTGTAATTTTGGTTTAAATTAAACATAATATATCTTGATTTGTTCCAGTTGGAGAAGGGAGTGCTGAATTTATATCTAATAATTAGTACACTAAATGTGTCGTACAATCATGAAGATATTTTCCAGTGGTATTGTTCATCTCGGGATTTAATGCAGACAAAGCCATTGCAGTTAGCGGAAGACACTTCACACTGTAAGTATTTCTTGCAAAAATCAATACGAAACATGTGACCAACGCATTAAAGATTTTTGATAATAGTGTGTTCCATGTTGGCCTATTGCTTATAAAAAAAAAAAAATTGTGTGCGGTTCACACGCAATAGAAGTGAAACCTTTAGAAAAACACTGTATTCTATCTCATTTTCTCGCAGGCTATATTGGGTTTTGGATTTTGTAGGCGATGGACTAGCTGCCTATCAATTTATTCACAATTTTTTATCTATACCCATATTTTTGGCCAATCCTGGTCCGAGTGACCCGCTGCTTCTTGGAGTCTGCCTGCCACGTCGGACATTACAGGCGTGATGTATATATATATATATATATATAAGCTTAATGTTAAGCCACTGCGCCAAGAAACTGTTAAATTTACTATGAATGAAATTGCTGTAATATAATAGCTGTAATGTAATAGTTTTATAATTAGTTTTTGTTATTGTTTTATTAGTGTAACTGCGATTTAACATTTGCCAGTAAGGTTAGGTAGCGTTGCCGTAGTCCCATATGGTAGGCATTGATTAAATTTAAAGTAGGAATGTAACAATACATAATTGTGCTGACACGATACCGATACCGAAAATAATCGACGATACTGATACCTTTATCGGTGACTGAGTAGGAATAGAAGGAAAAACAAATGAATAATGAATAACTTTCTTTATTATGCATAAAAGTTTCCTATATTTATCAGAGACTGAACCTTGAGAAGAAAATGTCAAATCAAAATTTCAATACAAAAATTCAAAAATCAAAGAAAACATTTTTTTATGTGAAATAATCAAGAATATTATCAAGCAATGAAAGCGCTAATTAAGAAAGTAATTTTCATTACACAAAGTGGTTAAGTAAACCGATATAAAAGATAATCAGTTAAATTAATTATAATTACAGTTAACTTTTGGTAGATTTTTGTGAATAAAACAAAGTTTGTTTAAATTATTAGCATATAATCTGTTACGCAAATCATTTTGAAAGAGACCTGCAGTTGAAAACAGGCACTTGGAGACAACTGACATGAGCAAGAACGTCGCGCGCACGTTGTTCGTTTCGCGCGCTTTTCAAACTCTTGATATCGGTTGTATATAATCGGCGGTGCTGATATATCTGCATCGGAATCGTTACATCCCTAATTTAAAGCTAAATGTTCCTCTCCTCCCTCCACCGTGCGTGCTGATGGTGGTGGTGCAGCCGTGGTGACGCCGGCGTGGGTGCGTGCGGTGCTGCAGCGCTGCGTGGTGCAGGGCTGCGCGGAGCTGCGTGGCGTGCTGGTGGCGGCCCGGCGCCACCGTGCCGCGCTACCTCTTAGCCTCGGCTGCGGCGGCCTCAAGGTCAAGCTCGACCAGCTGCTCGACACCAGGGGTGCGTACCCTGCCACACGACGCAACACCTTTACCTAATTTTTCATAGTTATCCCGACCTCCTACCAGATAGAACCACACGATGGTCACCAACAGCGTATACGAGGGGTCGCGGAATCTCCATTCGGAACCCAACTAGGGCCCCTTCATCGCTTTGCTACACTATTAGCACGTCCCGGGGGCTGTACTTGCTATCCCCAGCATCCTCGCAGTGTTATCACGGTGACGGAATCACTTGTGCCTCTACCTACTTTAACATGAATACCCTTTGATCTGTGGAGTCCCAGTCGATCCATTTTGTTTAGTACACAAATGTAGACGCCTTAGAACAATTCGGTTTTTAAATGTTTTTTATAAGAATTATACAACTAAAATTCTAAAAATGTATTACAATAGTTTAATTATTAGATTATACGAGAAATAAAAGACGTGACTACTTTACTATTAGGTCGGCCACATACGTACGGAAGACCGTTTCGAGATTCCGTTTCGAAATTCCGAATCGGGATTCCGAAACCACCACCACCAGAAGAAGTAGACCACAACCCCCTCAACGGTGTAGCTAAACTATGGTAGTTTAAATATAGACCAAACGTTAACCAAGGTCAACAAGCCACTGGTTATAGACCACCACCTCATTGATAACTACCACAATTCCAATCGACCGATGTAAGCATGCGTACAGCTCCACCTGTGAAACCTCGAGCTTTTTTTATAGAATAAGGGTAACAAACGAGCACACAATCCACCTGATGGTAAGTGGATGCTGTGGCCCATAGACATCTACATTTATCCTCAACTAAGAATCAAAACGCAGAAGCGTTGTCACCCCTGAAGACTAAGATGGAATGTCTCGTTTCCAGTAAAAATGGTCACTACATTCACCATATGAAACAACGCAGTATTAAGCTGCTATTTGATGCTGGTATTTTGTGCGAGCGTGGGCCTTCTCCGGTCGAGCCGACCCATTCGCGCTACAACTATACTACTAATATAACTGTAGCATAGCTCTACCACATACAAACAATGTCGTCGCATGCAAGTAACGAAAAGAGAAGAAAAGAAAAAAGAAGAGGGGTAGTTCTGAATTCCAAATCGGGATTCCGAAACGGAATATCGAAATTCCGTATGTATACATAGTATGTATGTGACCGGCCTTAGAACTACGTTGGTTTCGCGGGTCGATGTAGTACTTGACACACCGTGTAGATAGCGCTGTTACAGAGTTATTTTATTTCTGATATTTATTTTACCAAATTTCTGCCTTAAACTTGCTAAGTTACTGAAAACTTATAAAATGGGAGTATTCACCTATTGTGAATATATCTGTATTTATATATTGGTTTCTAACGGTAGATAAATAAAGACATATACATACAGACATCGATATTAAATAAAAATAATAATTAAAATTATAATATTTACAATTAAAACTAATTATAAACAATATAAAAAAGAAACTATAATGTAGAAAAACTAACACTAAAATTTTTAATTGTCAAAAAGTCGTCGTGGATACAGTTCCTTTAGCAACTTCACTGCACGTGGACCCCACGGACCGATAGTCTCTACAGCAAATGGCTCAAATATGTAGTCATTTCCCAAAGACTCATATTCGCGCCATTTGCTAAATTCGGCTGCCTCTGATGCCGCAACGGCTCTAAAAGAGGTACTCTTGGGATGAGAGGCCGCCAAAGTGTCAACGCAAGTAGCATCCCACACTAGGGCTTTACCTCTCTCCCAAGGGACCAAAGTTATACCGTCGGATCTCTTGCCATCGTCTCTAAATATCCCGCAAGGCTCTAAAACCTAGGGGATATTTATGGAGACAAGAGCTCTTCGGATGACTTCGTTTAAAGAACCGTGACAGGAAAACCTACCTGCACTTGTCTTGCATGAAAGTCCGTGGAGCCCAAACTCATCGACGCTGCTACTACAGGGGTACTGGTGAGGTTGACAAATTGCCGCTCCTAGCCGGATTCCTACGGCGATGCGCAAGCTTTCCCCATCAAGCAATGTGCCGAGATTACTTGATGGTAGAGCGTGTAGCCAGTGACTAGATTCCTTAGTCGAAACAGCTAGAAGGCGAGCCTGATCTTGTTGACTGTGTAAATTTAATAAATAAAATATCCCACTGTTTTTGTTGGTTAACTTCCAGTGGGACGAGAGCGTTAGCCATGTTTGCCTTGCCTCCGCAGCAAAGCACAGGTCTACTTTATTTTTTAAAATTGTGTTACATATATCATTGACACCATGTACGAAAGCAAGGAAAGCAGGCAATGCGACGCTAGAAAAGTTTCTTACTCCAATACCACCAAATTTGATAGGTAAAGTGGCTTGATTCCATGCTATTGTATTTAATCTCAAATTTAGAATATTTTCCAAAGCAATTTTAAGACTACTATCAATATCTTTTAAAATATCCGAACATTTCCAGACTGGACTTGATTGTAATAAGTATGTAAATTTAGGTACAAGGAGACAATATTTTAAAATAGTAAGGGCAATATGGGGGTTTAAGATATATAATTTATTAACGTGATTTAAAAATTAATCAAATTTTGTTTTTAAAGCTTGTTTAATACAATCGAAAAACAACGGAGCACCGAGCAGGTAAAGCGATTCCGTATTGACAGTTTTTATTCCTGGAGAAATCTGATTGAAAATTTGAATTAATGTATCTCTGTTAGAATTAGGTAAATTTATTGGAAATAAATATTTCACATTTATTGGTATTTGGTTCAAGACCAATATTTTTAAAATTTTGAAAAATATGAGTAAGATCACTGAGGACATCATCTGCTTTACCTCCCAGTGTACCGTCGTCCAGATATATAGTTTGATTTTAAATTTGAAATAATAGGTTGAATTCCCAAACTGAAAAGAGTTGGACCTAATGGATCACCGGAACACTACAGCAGACTCAATAATATGGTTTTGATAAAACAAGTTTAAATTTTGACTGTAACATTGCCAAACGTAATGATAAATTTCGGGGGTATTGTTAGCCACTTCTTTCAGCAGGGTTATCCTATCAATAGAGTTAAAAGCATTTCTAAGGTCAACCTTCAGAAGAACATCTGCATTAGAATTTGTTAAGAAGGTACGCACCGAATGTACCGCCGCCTCACAGCCACTACAGCCAGCCAGTAGGCTGAAATTTTGTCTTAAGGTTTGAGATTATGTGCCTGCAAGCTAATTTTGAAGTTAAGCGTCGAAATGTGGAACCAACAGCAATAGGACGGATACCGTTATTCTTTTTTTTGAAGTCACACAATTTTGCCCCATATAAGTAGGGAGTGAAATTGGGATTGACATTACCAGAAAGCATAAAATTACATAATTTTGTAATGTCATTAAGAAGTACTCTACCGGCGTCACCGGCAGACACGCTTACAAGATCTTTGAGATGTTTAGGCGTAATCCCGTCAATGCCGCCGGCAGAGCCATTCGAAAATGGCATTATTGCGTCCAAAGTGTCTTTTTCAGATATTTGTAAAGGTTGCATGTATTAGGAGGCAGCGTTAAATCCTGAGAAGGATTGACCGAAGGATGTTTCTGACGAAGGCCTTCAAGAGTTTCGACATTACGAGGAGCGAGGATGTCGTCTGAGAATAGAATACGGGATGCTTTTTTTAAGTCGCCATCCATTACTTTCGATACAACTATTTTTTTTAAGTCAAATTTAGGACACGGTCGAGATAATTGAGTATTAATCGGGTAATCTAAATTTTGAAAAGAATTCTCTTTTAGTTGAGACGTAATTGTTTTATTTATTGTTTTATTAAAATGAAAGTGGGAATACGCGAATGTAAATAATGTTTGCCAACTCTTTTCAGAATTCGTAAGAAAATTTTGAATAGTGCATGATAATGCTTTAGCAAGTTGTATCCTCGCACCTCTAGGAATTCTTTTAACCACTGGTACGTTACTATAAAAATTGTATAATTGTTTGAACTACTATATAGTTTTTTTTTACCAGTGGAATAATTCTGTAACAAGGATATGTACACGGCGTGTCAAGCATATACATCGACCCGCGAAGTCGACGTAGTTTATTCAATGACACTGTTATCTGCTGCTATCTTAAGGATCAAAGAATTCGTTAGTTGAGTGATGACTGTGACGAATCGCGCGCGGCGGAGCCGCCGTTTTGAGGTGTTTTCGTTACGTACATATTCACGTAAATCATACGGCCGTGTCCATAACATAGTGACACCTGATTTTTTTTATAGAATAAATGTGAAAACGAGTAGACAGTATATCTTATGGTAAATAAGTGCTGCTGTGGCCTGTAGATATCTACATCTATTCTCGAATTAAAATGCACATGTGTTGTTACTCCTGAGGACTAAGATGGAATGCCTTGTTTCCAGTAAAAAATGGCCTTCGGTGCTTTGCACTTACCATAACATACACAGTGGCATTAAGCTTTTCTTTAGACTTTTGTGAAACCATAATATAGTTGCAATATGGCTCTGTCATCTATAAAAATTATTGCATGGATCAATTTGGTTGTTTTAAGCAAATTGAGAGGCTAAAGTGATCCATGTGTAATCGCGATAAGGGCGTGTTTCGTATGCGTTGCTTCGTATGACATGTGACGTGTGTGCGTGTGTCGCGACGCAGAGGAGGCGCCGCGGAGGGGGGGCGGGTGTCGAGGTAGCGCGGCACTGGAGTGCCGAGCTGCTGGTGGACGCGGGCTGGGCGGGCGCAGGCCGCGAGCCGCCGCCGCGCCGCCACCACGCCTGGCGCTCCGCGCTGCTCGCCGTCGCGCTCGTCAAGTGCGCCACACACGCGCCGCGTCACTGCAAGGTCACACCACCACTCATTCATGCCCGGATACTCAAACGCTACTCAAGTTTAAGATGTCGTTAAGTCTCGTGGTGTCACAGTCACTTTGACTCAAAGTGATAGAGACAACTCGGGACTTAACGACATGTTGAAATTGAGCAGCGTTTGAGTATTTGGACATCACTCACCAAAGTGGCTAACTAAGTTCACTTTCAATAATTGTGAACGCTAATAGAAAACTAAGTATACTGTTGCAACGATCGCCGACGCACAATTTTATACCTAACAAAGAAAGTGTAAAACATTCTAGATCAATCCGGGCATTCAAACATTCCACTCTTTCAATGGGAACATAATATTATATCAACAAAATGTTCAAAGAAGAAAAGGCTTTATGTAGGTGCACATAAGATAGCGTCTTACAATAGTTGGAGCATCGTTAATACTTATGCATGGTTATCGTAATAATTCACATAAATGGCAATAATAATGGCAACTTTTCTAACCCCTCTACTGTAGTTAATAATATGTCTTAGTAATATGGTCTTGGAGTTAGAGAGTACGCCGCGCTACCCTCGTGAGGTAATAAGGCAATTTCGAGGATTTTTTATATTTTTGATTTTTTTATAATTTGTAGATTTTCTCACAATTTGTTTCTTCATCGCCGAGCAAATGATAGATCAACAATTAAAATTGTACTTGTGATGGTCAGGTTGTTTAAAAATTGAAATCTAGCGCCTATCTCTTGAACTGCTACGGTACAAACATTTATAGCAGGATTTTACTAATTACCGTCATATTGTATTAATCAACGAATTTTTCTAACTAGCGGCTACTATCAAAAATAGAATGTACTAATTAATTGTACTAACGGAGTTTATACTAACTGAATGACTTCGTCAAGAGCTCATCTCTCATAAGAGTACTGGTTTGAAATGTCCTCCACATATATTGTAAATATTCGACGAACTATACACTAAACTATACACAGCAAAATACTTATCATATCATATATATTATATTTTATCGAAAAATGTACAAAATGTTAACAATATTTTATTACTTAGATACGCAACTGACATGGCCAAATATAGTAAGTTGAAACGGCTAGAACAACTACCTGGTGAGGGAGAAATGCTCTCGAATGCCAATGTAGTATTAGCAAGCCTCCCCATCAGTCAAAAAAGTCGATTGTTGTACATGACACACAATCAACCAAATCTAAGAAATATATTTTGACAGCTGTCAGACATATTGCACTAAGCATGCCAACCAAAAAATGGGAACGTACTATATTCGATTCTTAAAAAAATCGATATCTATTATTTAGAGTTGGTAATAATTTACAGTTTGGTTTGAATAATACCAGAAATATTAAAAACGAATAATTTTAAACACAAGATTTATCAGTTTCTTCGTATTTGTTGTTACTGCGTATTTCTAGAGGCACAGTTATAAAAAATTAGGATTGATACTAGATTAAAAACAAATTTATTGAATCACTATCAGTACTAGTTGAGCTGTCGCTTTTTATATTAATTATTATTTGATTTTCAATAATGCAGTCAAAATTACTGTCTCTCTCAAAGTCATCCATAATTTTTTTTTGTTTTTTCTACCACTTTTGCCCAATGATCCTTTGTGACATGGGCACATGCTTCAATGAAAAAAGTTAAAGCCGAGTCACAAAATAAGAACACAAACACAAAATCACAAAATTACGCGCACTAAGCTCCCGAAATGGCGGTATATTGAAATTACGTAGGTAGTGGTTTTTTCAGCGCGGCCTTGTATATGAGTTTTTTAATTTTTTGCCTACACAGATTTATGTTGACAAAGTAAAAACAAAAATAATGTGTTTTATTCGTGATTCATTTAGTCTAAGGAATATTAAAAATAGGAATTAAATTAAACAAACAATACATAAAAAAATTATGATTCGATTATTTGAATACTTTTGCCGATTATTCGCATAACAATGAATTTTAATCATTCAAACACTACGGCAATGTACATAGCGACATATCATTGAAACGACGTTAAGTGAAAAACTTGATACTAGTTATTTTTTTTAATATATTGCTTTGTTTGAAAGATTCAAATTTAAATTAGTGATAAAAACTATATACGTTGTAATGAAATATAGACAACTACATAATTATTCGGATTTACGTAAAAGGTTATTTTAAATCGTGTGCGTACGCTTGTGCAAAGTTATTGCGGAATGATTAATGTGAAACGTCAAAAGGTATTTCTTAGATTTGGTTGACTATAGTGACTTTGGGGGAGGTCCATGTTTAGCAGTGGGCTTGTGTTGTGATGAAAAAGATTAATGGAACTTTAAAACATTTAAAAAATGTTTTTATTGTGCTTTCTACATATAACATTTTTTATATATAAAATCATTTGTTGTCCGTTAGTCTCGCTGAAACTCAAAAACGTCTCGAATGATTTTGATAAAAAAATTGTGTATATTTGAGTGGGTCCCTGGATGGTTTAAAAACTCAATTAAACCCGGTAGGTGGCGTTGTTGTCGAGATCCAGAAATCACTCGTGCAAATCCGGGGTGGATCGCTAGTTTTTTGTAAAAATTTAGAAAATATATATAAATTTTAGGTTGAAGCAATGATGGACTGTTTACGTCTTGAATGGAGTACACAAATAGCTGAAACTGTGATCTCAGTAGTTGACTGTCTGAACGATTACAAGGCTCCAAGCAAAGTGAAGCAACCTCAAGAACCGACAGCCGACTCTCCGGCCAATATATCGGTTAATGTGGCATTGTCACACATAAATCTGTTCCTAGTCGTGACTGATGAGATATGCTTGATGACGAGAATTGACGCGGTGACGTTGGAGAAAACTGTAAACAAATCCGGAGCACTCGTGTCTGGTCTGAAAGTCGTCGAAATGGTTCCTTACAAAGGTAAATTATCATTTTGGATAAGGAGATTTCAATTTAATGACGTCATTTTTATATTTTTTAATTTTCAGGTAATGTGCAGTGCCAAAGGTCAGACGAAATAACCTCCAATTTCTTCCATGTGCGTTTAGCTAGAATTGAACACGTGCCTTCGAAGGGGAGAAATTCAGCCCTCCTAGATTTTCAGTTCCTAGAAACAATAGACTTTGAATGGAGTGCCAACATGCATTTAAAAATATTAACATTTGTCAGAGCCGTGAAAAGCTTCCAAAAAGAATTGAAAATGATAAAAATGGGTAAAATAAATGTGGAAGATACAAGTGCAAAGAAAGGAAAGGGTCTAGACTGGAGAGTGTCTTTTAAAGGCGATACGAACCTTGTTCTTCTGCTGTCTGAAGATAATCATATGCTTTTTGCAACGGGTATGTGTTTAATAACTGAAATTAGATTTAATCATTTCCTTCATATAAGATACAGTTTACAGTTAGACCATAAGTCCTCGGAGCCTAGAACAATTTTCTGTTGACTGTTTTTCTGAATGATCTGTTTTAAATTAGCGGGATTTGCCATGTTGGTTTTCTACAATCGTAAATGCTAATGGAAAACCTTAAAATGTTTTAAAATTAACATAAATCATTAATATTTTTTATGAACTTTAACGATTATCTACCCGCAGAGCTTTCTCAATGAAGAATTTGGGGTCATTCACATAAGTTCAAAATAAAAAATTATACAAAATGTTATTTAAAAATACAAAATGAAAAAAAATGCTTTTGTTTTATAATATCTATTATAGTTTTATAAGAATGATTTTACAAAACTTACTCAATCTCTTACTCATTCCGGATTTCAGATGATATGACAATAGGCTACGAGCACGAAGCGGGCTTGTCGATCGTGTGGAGCCAGCTGAAGATGATACTGAACGGTGACGAACTGGTGACGGTGCACGGCTACTGCATGGAGCGCGCCACCGACGACCCTGACGTGCGCGTCGAGAGGAAGGCCAACGAGAGCTTCTTGCTGCCGTGGAATAAGGTTTGGTGCGTAATTTAGACAAATACCTTTTCACATATGCCGTGTAGTGGCGGTTAAGAATATCCACTACCCCATATCTTCCCGTGGGTGTAGTAAAAGGCGACAGAGGGAGACAGGCAGGAGATGGGCAGCAGCATCTTCCTGATAACAGCAACTGTACGACAAAAAAAACTGAGGTTGCCAACCCGCTCGCCAAGCGTGGCAACTATAGAAATATACCCCCCATGAACAATTACACAAATAGACGGCCCCCAGTCCCCGGCGGCCCCGCTATTCCTGGCTACGGTGGCGACCATGGTAACGGCGGGGCAGGGGGTGCTAAGAATCTCCGGTGGAGGTTCGGTTGCCACCTACGACGACTCGACCTGGCAACATTTAACGCACGCACACTGAGGACTGACGAGAAGATCCTGGAGCTGGAAGAAGAGATAAACAAGTTGCGCTGGAGTATTATAGGATTATTCGAGGTTCGAAGATAGGGGGAAGACACGGTGATTCTCGAATCCGGCAACTTGTTCTATCACCGGGAGGGCGACCATCTGTCCCATGGAGGTGTCGGATTTATCGTCCACAAGTCTCTCGTCAACAACGTTGTAAAGATTGGGAGTGTGTCGACGAGGGTCGCGTACCTGATACTCAGAATCACCAAACGGTATTCGCTGAAGGTCATACAGGTTTACGCACCAACCTCGGCACATTCCGATGAGGAGGTGAAGGAAATGTATGAGGATATTTCCAAAGCCATGCATTCCTCCAAAACCCACTACATGGTGTTGATGGGAGACTTCAACGCAAAACTAGGCACAAGAGAAAACGGTGAGCTGAAGTTAGGGAAATTTGGAGTAGGGCAACGGAACCGAAGGGGCCAGCAGCTGGCCGACTTTATGGAGAAAGAGGGACTCTTTATGATGAACTCTTTCTTCCAGAAGCGGCCCCACAGGAAGTGGACCTGGTCGGGCCCCGACGGTTCGACAAAAAATGAGATTGACTTCATTATGACGACCAGACGCCAACTGTTCAGTGATATCTCAGTGATCGCAAGGGTGAAAACTACAGGCAACTGAACAGACAGATCTCCAAATGCATACGGCGAGACTTACGCAACTTTAATACTGCTCGTATTAAAGAAGCGATCGAGTGGAACCAGGGCTCCAAAGTCTTTGCCAGAGATCTGTCTGCCCGTAAGAGCCAACTGTCAAGGCTGAAGACTGAGTGTGGCAGCATCGTTTCCGGGACACCTGAGATTTTGAGTGAGATTGAGAGGTTCTATGGGCAGCTGTACACATCATCGTTGGAGCCACACGCAAGTGTGAGTAACGATCCAAGAGCAAGTCTTATCCGACACTATTCCGATGATATCCCGGACGTCAGTCTAAGCGAGATTAGAATGGCTCTCCAGCACCTTAAAAACGGCAGGGCCCCAGGCGAGGATGGAATTACAGCGGAGCTTCTGAAAGCGGGTGGAACACCGGTACTTGAAGTCCTTCAGAAGCTCTTCAATTCCGTCCTCCATGGTGGCACTACTCCAGAGGCGTGGAGCAGAAGTGCGGTGGTCTTGTTCTTTAAGAAAGGCGACAAAGCTCTCTTGAAGAACTACAGACCGATTTCCCTTCTGAGCCGCGTCTACGTGCTGTTTTCGAGAGTCATTACGAATCGTCTCGCACGCAGACTCGACGACTTCCAGCCTCCCGAACAAGCCGGTTTCCGAAAAGGCTTCAGTACCATAGACCACATACATACCCTGCGGCAGGTTGTACAGAAGACTGAAGAGTACAATTTGCCACTTTGCCTGGCGTATGTGGACTATGAGAAAGCCTTTGATTCCGTCGAAATTTGGGCGGTGCTGCAGTCCCTTCAGCGGTGCCAAGTTGACTGTCGGTATATCGAAGTGCTGAAGTGTTTGTACAGTAGGGCTACGATGGCTATTCGAGTACAGAACCAGAGCTCGAAACCTTTCCAACTGCAGAGAGGTGTAAGACAGGGTGACGTTATATCCCCGAAACTCTTCACCGCTGCTTTGGAAGACGTTTTCAAGCTACTGGATTGGAAAGGATACGGTATTAACATCAATGGCGAGTACATCACTCACCTTCGATTTGCCGACGATATAGTCCTTATGGCAGAATCGCTGGAGGACTTAAGCACTATGCTCAATGACCTCAATAGTGCCTCCCAACGGATAGGTCTTAAGATGAACTTGGACAAAACAAAGATCATGTTTAATGTCCATGTCACACCTATGCCGGTAGTTGTTGGGAGCACTATGCTCGAAGTTGTTGACGAGTACGTTTACCTGGGACAAATAGTCCGACTAGGTAAGTCCAACTTCGACCGAGAGGTCAATCGACGGATTCAACTCGGCTGGGCAGCGTTCGGGAAATTACGACACATCTTCTCGTCAGGTATCCCTCAATCTCTGAAAACTAAAGTGTACAACCAGTGCGTGTTGCCAGTGATGACTTACGGATCAGAGACGTGGTCCTTCACCGCTGGCCGTATGAGGACGCTCAAGGTCGCTCAGCGAGCTATGGAGAGGGCTATGCTCGGAGTTTCTCTGCGTGATAGACTCAGAAATGAGGATATCCGCAGTAAAACCAGAGTGACCGACATAGCCCAACGGATTAGTATGCTGAAGTGGCAATGGGCCGGCCATATCGCTCGAAGAACCGATAACCGATGGGGAAGAAAGGTTCTCGAGTGGCAGCCTCGTACCGGTAGGCGTAGTGTAGGGCGACCCCCACTAGATGGAGTGACGACCTGGTAAGATATGCAGGAAGTCGATGGATGCAGGTGGCTCAGGACCGTGCTTTGTGGCATTACTTGGGGGAGGCCTATGTTCAGCAGTGGACTTGTGAAGGGCTGTGATGATGATGATGATATCTCATTTATTGTATTAAGATTTGTAATTCATTTGCAATAATTCCTCATTTGCATAGGGGTCCGTTTAGGCTTTTTAGAACGGGATGAAATGGAGAGAGAATAATTTACTACTTATCTTAAAGAAATCCCGACTTCAACAGTTATTAAAAATATAAGTTGAATACAATACTAAAAAGATTTAATTAAAAGATGTAAATATTCTCAAAAAATTTTTTTTAATGACGTTCAGAATATGTTCATTAGATTTTTTTCTTTCAGGGCTGTGAACATAGACTCTGTACGAGTTATTTTCCCTTATAAGCACCGCTTTGCAGAGGCGGTACAAGGCGATTTCGTATCATTGTTTAAATGGCTGAAAATCGTGCACGATATTAAGAAGAAACCCTTTACAGCCGACAGTCCATTACCAAGTGATTTGCATATTAAGGTAACTTAAATACGAAGTACTAGAAATAAGACGAAAGCAGAAAGGCGGTTTTATTAAATTAATTAAAATAATTTACTTTTTAGATTGAAGAGCTATTAATAGAAATGAGTGATGACCCGTTTGAAGTAAAACTCAGAGATAATTATGAATTGTTGGAGGACGAGTACAAGGAGAGCGAGAAACGACGAACCATGCTTGATGCTAAGGTAGTGTTGTCAATTAATTAGATATATAATGTCAATTTGGCTAGGATTTAATTGATATAGTACTTTGTTTAAGGTAACACATCAAAAAATAATAAATAAAATTTCTAAAATTAATTTGTTATGCAACATTTCTTTATGTGCATTAATCACACTGGTCGAATACTACTCTAATGGGTTACAAATAATTAAAAATGTGGAACTCGAAACCACAATTTTATTAAAAATCTGCAGCTCGAGATGAAACTGGAAATGGGTTGTGGTAGAAGTGGCCGGAAAAACCTGGTATATGCGGTTGACCCACTAGGCGACCCCGCGGTTAAATACCTCCTACGATAGCTCAGGCCTCCGGTAGAGGCTGATTTAAGTTAAATAGGTAAATTTTAAGGACCACCGGGTAATTGTGTCTTTAAATGCCTAATGAGATTATTTGCAATCTTTGGATGCGGGGCGGCGCGGCATGATCCGTACTTCAGCAGCTGCGATGCGGTGATGCCGGCCCAGTTGGTGGGCTGGCGGTAAGATCTTATCACACAGTCTTCACAGATATTAATTCTATTGGTTCTTATAACATTTCACCACAACATGTGGGACACGGCGACGGAAAACGCGCGATATACCCCGTAGAAAACTCCGCGAACTAGAAGTCTGGCGATAAGTGATATAGCGGTTCGCAATGTATATATGCGGTTATGACACGCGGTTGGGTGATGATATTTCACGAATATACCACGAGCGTAGATGACACAAGCGAAGTGGGCGATCTGCGCGAAGTGTACGGCGACAGTGACGCGTGCGCGTGCGCTCAATGTTGGAATGTTGGTTGGCCATCTACCAAAAACATATGTAAAGAATGGCTAAGTTCGGTATAAAGGACGTTGACGTGGACGTTGAGAGTAAATAAGCGCTAAGCACAAAAACAGCTCTAAGAACGATCTTTACTCTTTTATGAACAATCCTGACAACCTTGAATGTCGTTGGTACCGAACCTGATCGTCTTTTACATTTACGTCTTACATTTTTCTTTTTTAATTTAAGTTATGAGAATCAAATGTCTACAAAGTTATTTCTATGGCAAGTTTCAAGTATAGTATTTGGGATTGGAAATCACCACACCAATACCTTGGTCGACACTTTTTCGATACTGAATATCGATAATTTCTTGCCATCAGATTTTTTTATGTACTTCTAGTTATGTATTGTGTTGTATTGTAATATTCTTGTCTGTTGTCGAATTTCAAGTTTATTAGTAATCTAGAAGATGTTGTTGTTAAGTGTGTCGATGAATGAGTCAGTTAGAGATAAAATTGAAACTTTGCTGACATTTAGTGTTTTATAGTTTTAATATAATCTTATAGTTTTTGGGTTATGAGGGGCAGTATTTTGTATATGAATAAACAGACTGCCGTGTGTCTAGATGGGTGTATACTGTAATATGTATTTGTCTCTATTTTATATTTTTTCATAGTACAAATACCGTATTTTCATTTTATCATAGTCATATAAAGGTTCATATTGCAATTAATGTGGATAACTTGTTTTGTGTAGGTGCAAGAGCTTTGCAAGCCACACCTGTTCTTGCCAGCGGGTAAGGTGGAGGAGTTGTACGCGGCGCTGCGGCAGAAGGACGCGCAGATCTACGTGCAGCGGTGTCGTGCCGCGCCGCCGCCGCGCACTCGCCTCGTGGCCTGCTGCGTGTCCGCGCTGCGCCTGCTGGCGCTCGCCGACCCCTCCGTGCACGGCGCGGCGCGAGCGCAGGCGCGCCTCCGTGACCTCGACTGTGACAGGTACGTGCGCCGCGCGTGCTGCGTGTGCTGCGTGCCGCGCTGCGCCTGCTGGCGCTCGCCGACCCCTCCGTGCACGGCGCGGCGCGAGCGCAGGCGCGCTTCCGCGACCTCGACTGCGACAGGTACGTGCGCCGCGCGTGCTGCGTGTGCTGCGTGCCGCGCTGCGCCTGCTGGCGCTCGCCGACCCCTCCGTGCACGGCGCGGCGCGAGCGCAGGCGCGCCTCCGCGCGCTCGACCGCGACAGGTACGTGCGCCGCGCGTGCTCCGTGTGCTGCGTGCCGCGCTGCGCCTGCTGGAGCTCGCCGACCCCTCCGTGCACGGCGCGGCGCGAGCGCGGGCGCGCCTCCGCGACCTCGACTGCGACAGGTACGTGCGCCGCGCGTGCTGCGTGTGCTGCGTGCCGCGCTGCGCCTGCTGGCGCTCGCCGACCCCTCCGTGCACGGCGCGGAGCGAGCGCAGGCGCGCCTCCGCGACCTCACTGTGACAGGTACGTGCGCCGCGCGTGCTGCGTGTGCTGCTTGCCGCGCTGCGCCTGCTGGAGCTCGCCGACCCCTCCGTGCACGGCGCGGCGCGAGCGCAGGCGCGCTTCCGCGACCTCGACTGCGACAGGTACGTGCGCCGCGCGTGCTGCGTGTGCTGCGTGCCGCGCTGCGCCTGCTGGCGCTCGCCGACCCCTCCGTGCACGGCGCGGCGCGAGCGCAGATTCGCCTCCGCGACTGGTACGTGCGCCTCGTGTGCTACGTGGCGCGCTACGGAGTCTATGCAGATTAGAAGGTTGCGATAATTATTTATAAATATAATTCGTATTCGTCTAATTAAGAATAACATGTTGATGATTTTTTGATATATTTGTTTTATAAAATTTTGATGACAAACAAACCTAATGCTAATTTACACGCTTTTGGCAAGCACGTCACTTCAATTTGTCACATTTGGGAAAGCGTCCACAATCTCCAAGCCTATGCAAATGTTAAGGTCTTGGGAGTCATTTACATGCTTGTGAATACGTCGCTATGCTCCTAACAGACAAGCATGGCGGACCGAATTTGTTTCAGCTATTGCGTTTAATTGTTTGCTGAAAATCGTCATCATTATTTCTTCTTTAACTTTTAAATATTGTACTGAGTTTTGCATTTATTCGACAAGACTCCAGGCTTGAACCACTTTCTTTTTTCCATTTATTGATTCCAGATATGCACCTGGAATCCCAAATATTTCAATTATAAACACCCATCCATTACAGCCTAAAACAATCCACTGCTGAACACAGTCTCGATCATAGATTACCTCATAAGAGGGATTTTGCCAAAGTTGCCACGCTTTTCGTCTACCGCAATTTTTTAATTCGACTGTAATATACAAACAAACTTCAAACAAAAATTACCTCTAATAACTAATATGAAATGTCTCATAGCCGGTAATTATTAGTATTTTGTTTTACTCGAGGATATCATTACAAAATTTTTTTATTTATTATTCGTTAGTAAAATGTTTTTATTTAATTTTAATTTGACTTTCTACAGTCCCTGGCCAGAAGACGGCATAGAGTTTACAACACTGTGGTGCCGCAGCATAAGCGTACAGTGCTCGCTGTGGCAAATACGCCTCCGTGACTTTCCACAACCTCTGCTCAGTATGTCTGAACTTCGATTGTGGGGCACGCTTTTGGCAGCTGAAGAACAGCCGCCTCCACGAGGTATTTCTTAATGTATTTATTTCTTATTAATCTAAAAAAAAAAAAAACACTTGAAGTTACAGTACCGGCCTTGCATAAACAAAATGGGACCAAAAATACTACCAGTATAACACCTTTTGCATAGTAGGTAAAAGTAAAAAAAAAACTGCATTCGTAACTTATTATCTAATCTTATTTTTGTAAAGTATAAAGGACAATGGCGAAGTTTAAAACCAAAAAAAAATCAACTTCTTTTTCTTGCGTCTACAAATGAAAAATATGTTAAATATAATTGTGATTTCCTGAACAATATTTTCCTCCTGTAGGAAATCAGGAATTAAAGATATTCCAGTTTTAACAAAATTCAAATCAGACTAGATTGTATGTTCTAAAATCTTTGCCTGACTTAATTGGCAAATCATTACAACGATGACCACAATTCTATAAAGTCAATATAATTTTAAATTAGTTATTAGTAAAAAAGTAAGATTGTTGATGCTTTTATTCACTTTCCCTATCACTAATAGTTCATCATAAGTCCACTGTTGACCAATAATTACCATAAAGAATGTTCTTGAGCTACCTGCATCCATCGGTTGCCTGCGTTTTTCATCGGGTTGTCAAACCGACTAATGGGGGCCGGCTTACGCTGCGCTTACCAGTACGAGGCTACCACTCGGGAACCTTTCTTTCCCATCGCTTTCAAATCATGCAAAGGAACGAAGGCAAATGTTGAATTAATGTATATTAAAAAAAAATAAAGTTATTGATGTTGAAAATATTGTTAATGCTTTCTTTTAAAGTTTAGACTAACACGAAATCTTTAGTCGCGTCTCATAAGCAACACAAAGTCAGAAATATGCATGTAGGAAAAGCCAAAATTAAGGGTTTTTAGGTGCTAACTAGGTGCCAAGTTTAAAAATCAGGCGCTTTAAAATTTTCACCGCAACGAACTTGAAATTTGCATTGCTGGTAAAATGTATCGCTAGCAACGCAGTGACGATATTAGATATACGATAAGTATTATTACAAGGAATTAAATGCTAATTAAGTGTTGACAAATTATTGTTGTCGGATGTAGATGACGGTAACATTCTAGGAATTGATAGAATCAGGCGTTACTTTGCGGAAATCCATTATAATAAAAAATAAAAATTACTTCGCAACCTTCCGCTAAATAAATACAATGACGTGTCTTACCTGGATTGAAGAGCACCTCCCGCCCTCCCTCAATTGCATGCACTAACTCCGTCACCACTAGTCCCAACACCACTACTCCCAACACCACTACTCCCGGCACCACTACTTCCAACACCACTACTCCAGGCACCACTACTTCCAACACCACTATTCCAGGTAAGACACACCATCGACGATAATAGGACACATCTTTATCTGTTGTATATTATAGATAAGATAGGTCGAATCTGTACTAAAACCAAATCAGAACGCCCCAACTCCATGTAGTCTTGTCTGCCTTAACCCCAGAGTGTTTCTGTAAAGCCGTAGCCGCGGAGGGAGAGCAGCCCCCGCCCGCTGTAGCAAATCACAGGCATCGGTGAGAGCTGTAGCGGCAGGGGCAGCTGCAGAGGTGAGCACGGGTGCCTGTGATTTGCTACGCAAGGCCGAAGGCACTGCACTTCCCACAGCTCCGAAGCCGTTGCGAACTGTGTCAATAATCCTGTGTAAAAAAGTGAGTTGTGTTTTAGGAAGCACTTAATTAGCACTTAATTATCAAATTAATATTCAATACCTGATTTTAATTCTATTCTGATTTTCAGAAGACCTGATATTTTGATCTGCTTTGTTCTGAATAACTGTATTTTTATGAGGGGCGCCTTGTCATTGAGTAATGCTTATACTTGCGGCATTTAATTAACACTTAATTCCTTGCCGTTAATATTTATCGTATATCTATTATCGTCCATGTGTTGCTAGCGATACGTTTTTCTAGCAATGCAAATTTCAACAGTTCGTTTCGGTGAAAATTTTAGGGCACCTAAATTTTTAAACTTGGCACGTAATTAGCACCTAAAACGCCCCTAATATTGGCTTTTACTAAATGCAAATTTCTGACTGAAATCTTTACATTAAAATAATTTTTTTTATTAATAAATTTAATTGTTTAACATGTACAATCTTTTATTTTCAGCGGTTAGAACTGTAATAATAGACCAAGGTGCACCGTGGGGCAAATTCGAACTGGAGCGCAGTATGATGCCACTGAAATGGTACTATGACCTATGCTGTGAAATGTCCGAGTACAGTTACGCTTTTGGACCTTGTTGGGAACCTGTTATTGCACACTGTAACCTCGGTAAGTGTTCTATACGGAATAAATATTTTTTACGCTGTTATCTGTGAAAGTGGTTTAACATATTAAAATATGTCTATCATAAAAAATGATATGGTTATGATTGACTTTATTATATTTTTCAAAGCCTTCGATCAAGTATCTCGACCATCCTTGGATCCGTCGGCCCCACTAGCTTGGTGGGACAAAGTACGACTACTAATGCACGGTCGTCTAACGGTCAACTGCAATAAGTTCACTTGTCTGCTGCACGTGTCTCTCGATCCTTATAACACCACTGAGGAGATGGAAGTCACCTGGAATGATCTTGTCTTGGATTGGACTAACGGTGAGCTAAAATATTTTATAATTAATGTAAGCTATAGTAGTAGTCACACATTACAATTAATTACATGTTAATTTCCATTATAGATGATGTAATGTAGTAAACTACGCATGTGGTACAATTATTAGGGCATCATAACGCAGTGGCTTAGCGTTGAGTTACGGCGCCGAGGGCTGCGGGTTCGAATTATATAATTGCGACTTTGCTCCGTGTAATTAATGTGAAAAATAATTTAAGGAAACGTACTCGACTGCGCATTGAGAGATTTTAAAATACCAATAACACTTACTTTAAGTGATTGCGTATTTAAGTTGTATATAATTCGTTATTGTAAATATTTAATCGTTTTAAATTGTTGATAGTTGTAAATACTTGATTCCAATATTTTAAATACGCCATAATAAAGGCAGCCGTCGATTGCGTCGTCAAAATGTAATTCTTTTTTAATTTTATTTATTATGACGGTCCGAGGTTCGTTTAAAGTATGAAGTGAAAATCGGAATCATTATTCGCGTTGCGTAGTTACCAACTTCGTAGCAAACGTGCCGTTAAGGAAGTAAATAGTAGGCAAAAGCCCGGGCATTGTCTTGCACACACGAGCGCGCGTGAACTGTAATTGTTGTCCATAAATCACATTTAATTTCGGATAATGTTGAAACCTAATTTACGCGTATATTTTAAAGCTGCATAAAGTGTATATCAGTATTTGTATTTTGAACTTAATTATTACATTTAGCCAGTCTTTGCAACATGACCCTGTATATCGTAAATTGGAAATAGGCAAACACTGACCAGAAACAATTATTTCAAGGCTATACAAATATTAGTTTCGTTCGGGAATTGATCACTCAAACAGCTACGTTACGAAGAAGTGGTAAATGACGTAAAATTTATATTTAGACAGGAATTGATAAATTTCCTTACCCGTAACAAAAATTTCAAGGCTATATAAATATTTATTTCGTGCAGGAATTGAACAAAGAACTACCGTGCTAATGATCCATCGTAAATAATGCGACAGTTGTATTGGTGCAGGAAAGCTGTTGTTCCTGGGCGAGCTAAACGTGTTTGTGCGCACGGCGAGCAAGTACGACGACTGCCGCGTGCTGCGCGTGCCGGCGCTGCGGCTGTGCGTGAAGATGGGCTGGCAGTGCGTGGGCGAGCCTCGCGACCACCACGCCGTGGCGCCCTGCGCGCCCACGCGCCTGCCCGAGTACTCCAGCAACCAGGTCGGTGTCGCTGAGCGCTGAGCGGACTTGAGCGATTAGTACCAAGTACGCTGCGACTTAGCAGTGAACTATAGCCATAGCAACGGTCACAATATATATTACAGGTTGCAATGATACTGGACTTATTAGAGCGTAGCTGCTCGCATGGTTAAAAATATATACCGATGCCTGTACGTCACAAGTACTTCGTAAAATTTGACTACAGTTAAAGCCATCGGACAGTCGAAACCGGCAGTATCTCAAGTTCTTAACGCGCCTAAGCAGACAAAATAACTTAAGGCTTATATCAACATCGTAGCATTCGTTGTGTCGTTTCCGCTAATAGTAGATATGCGCAGACACTTAATACACATAATCGCTACCCTTTTACGTATTAAACCCCGCTTCAAACCATTTAGTTTTCATTGCGAGATTATCAGAAATGCAATGAAATATTTATTTGCGTTTATCAGTATTACGTGATACTCATAAATCTTATAAATAAAGCACAATTATTTAGGTCGTATTCTAGAATCCGATTTCGATAATTGAGATATAAAAAAAAATCAATCTTACTTTGGAAAACAACAAACGATAGCGGTTATATTATCAGCTCTGTATGATTCTACAAACGGCGCACAGTCTCTCTTAGTTCAGTCTTAGTCGAAACTTTCCATTTGGCCTGCAACTATGTGCTGTTTTTGTTTGTGATAAAGTTGAAATTACGAGTGTTTCTAGGAAATTCCGAATTACTTTCGTCACTCGTTTTTGTAATGTACCATACGATTGTTTACGATTGTTGACGATGCACAATATTCTGAAGTACTGGCGAATGGATTTGCAGTCGAGTATCTTTCATATGCTATTTTCTATCGTCTTTTCGATTTATTATCTGTCATATGCAACAAGTTTTGTTGTCATTTTCTTGTGTGTTTTTAATGGAATAATTTGAGATGTCAAATCCGTGTAAGGATCCGTAAATTTACTGTTAGCATTTACTGTTATTACAATTTACAAATTATATCATTCAAAATTTATTTTTAGGAGCACGACTCGTACCGAGCTTTTCGTTCCCAAGGCCTCGACTTACATTTAAGCTACGACACCAAACCTGTGGAAGGAGATGGGCCTGTACTTCTGTTATATGGCAGTACTCTTAGGTATATTTTAGCGATGTTTAATTGGATTTTATTAAAGTTTATTGAGGCCTTTTTAATTGTATCTGTTGTTGGTACTAGGTGGTTCGAGAGCCTGAAGCTGATCCTGTCAGGCATCACGCGGCCGACGCGGCGCGGGCGCGTGTTCCGCAACGTGCGGCCGCGCAAGCCGCAGCTGTCGCGCCACTACCGCAACGTCAGCGTCTCGCTCACGCTGCACAACTTGCAGGTACTCCCTTGTACGCAAAGAACATATTTATTTATTGCTGCAACTTGTCGACTGTCGATATTACAAACAAAAAATACTTAACTAATTATTAAGAAATAAAAAAAATAAAAATAGTATACAACAACAAAAATGCCATGACTCAGCGTAATACAGAGTTACCGCAGCGCTGATATTCTGCCACATATTAAGTCGACTCGTGGTTAACCGCTGAATGTTTATTTTATTTATTTATTTATTACACAATTATAACATCATTACATTTATTAAACCAATGCGATGCTATAACTAACCTAAATATAAGAAAACTACTGGCTAATAAATAATGATATCTAGTATGAAATCTATCAAATTGATGGTAAAATAAGATACTAATTAAAAACATTACAATTTTCAATGCATTTGTATGCTGCAATTATAAATTTCGTCTCACTACATGCCAATATGTCAATATTCTGTGAGATAACATTTATGAACCAAAAGGCATATCAAGCAAAGTTCAGTGCACATCAAGCAGTCGTTTACTTATCATACTAATATATCAATTGTCATAACATAGCAACCTTTATATCGTCTATCAACAAGTGTGGCAATTACACCCCACAGTGCAGTCTGTGCGTTGGTGCAGGTGTTCTACTGGTCTTCATCGTCGATGCAGCGTGGCATCGAGATGCTGGGCGTGCGCGTGACGTGCGGCTCGCGGCACCGGCTGTCGCTGGTGCCGACGGACGACGGGCTGGTGCGGCGCCCGCGCGCCATCTGGACCACCGTCTACATGAACTGCGACCTCAACGACGCAGAGATCTGGCTCAAGACGCCGGCCTCCACAACGGACGACAAGGATAATGAGGTGCGTTTATGTGAGGATATCCTATGGAAAACTGCCTGCTATGATTTTGATTCTGGGAGTTAATATATAAAGGGCACCTATAACATTTTTGCCACCAAGGCAACGCCACCATGGCTGAATAAAGAAAAAATAAAGTGAAATATTTGACAGGTTGCATTTACAAGGGAAGATAAATTGTCAGGAAAATATAAAAGTTAATATTTCTTTCTAAAACTTTATCCTTGGTAATGGACTCGTACTGTTGTACTTTTGTCAGTCTTAAGTATATTAAGAATTTATCCTTTAAAATGATTTGTTTCAAAACATCTATACAAATGCACCTCTTTATGGAATTAGAAAATTTTAACGGCAGTATGAGCCAGCAGACAGCCGATGACGATAGCATCTCAAGAAGCTAGAGCACCTTAATAATCCAATAGCAATCGGAGCACTTATTTCATAGTTTGCTCTAATAGTTCACGTGCGCAGATATTTAATACACAGAATCGTACTACCTTTACGTATCACAATCCACTGCAAGTCATTGTCTAAACAATAATACAAGAGCAGCAATCTGCTGACGAAAAAGTTGCCGCCAAAATTCTAAAATATAAGTTATATTTTATAAGAATTAGAATAAAATAGATACACCAAATTATGGATTTTCCTAAATGTAAAAGAATTTAAATGTGCAAATATTAAAGAGTAACCACTAACGCATTGTTTTGTGAATGTAATTTTTTCTCCTGTATCATGGGGTGAGTTCACATACATAAATTTCACAAGGACACATATCCAGATTCAGAAAAATTATTTATGAATGGATAGCTGAACATACGTAGATATTTTTAAGTACATCCGCAACATACATGCCATAGATTTTTTTTAATATTCCTGAAAGAAAAAAATACTTTGCACAAATTTATTTCTTTTATAAACTATCAATCGTCTACTACGACTCAGATTGTTCCTTTACCTAAGATCTTGGTGCTTAAAATAATAAAGCAACTTATCTACTACACAAAAATTATAAGAAAAATAAAACAAGATGCACAAATTACAAAAAAAAAAAAAAAAAAATTACAATCGACAAAAGTTGGCAATTTTTATAAAAAACTTAAATATCCAATATCTTTAAACGGAAAACGGTAGAGCCGTGGTAGCTCAGATGGTTAGCGCTCGCTTTAAATTTCACAGTACGCGAGCACACCGGGTTCGATCCCCGCCGGCACCAGTGAAATTGTTAATTGCAATTTTAAGTGCTGATTTACCACGTGCTCGGCGGTGAAGGAAAACATCGTGAGGAAACCTGCATGTCAGAGAAATAAGAAACAAAATATATTTCGAAGACATGTGAATTTCGCCAACATGCATTGGGGCAGCGTAGCGGACAATTACTTGCCCTAAAACCCTCTCAGAAATAAGCGGAGGCCTGTGTCCAGCCGTGGGACGTGTATATAGGCTGTAACTTTACTTTACTTTTACTTTTGAAAACGGGTAAGTTTGGGGTATGGTGTTTCATAGTCGAAACAGTCGGTAATGATGCACACTACAACCCTCTAAAGGATCTAGCTCGACTTAACCTGTAACCCTGTATATAGGTATACATTAGAAATCAAAAATTTTCATTTGAATCGTTACTTTTCACTTATGGTACAGTTTTTGTACACTAGTGTACGAATAACTTTACCGCAGCTCCTACTAGCGGCATCCGGTGAACGGATAATTAGTAATCTTCACTGTTTGTGTGCAGAAGTGCGTGGTGAGCCCGCCGGCGATGGAAAAGTGCTACTGCCTGTCGGTGCGGCGCGTGTCGTATGGGCGCGAGGCGGGGGAGGCCGAGGCGGGAGGCGCGGGCGGCGCGCCGGCGCACCGCCTGGCCGTGCACGACCTGCGCGGCGCCTGGACCAAGCTCAACCGCGACCTCGCCTTCGCGCTAATCGACACATACATCAAGACACAGGTGCGCACGCCGTCGCACACATACACACTACACGGGCACACAAGCACGCGTTCACAGTGTAAGCAACTGCACACAGCACGAACACGCACACGTATTCAGAAAGAGGACGCGCGTACAAGTACGCCATTACGTACGCGTACATTTAAATTATATTATTTACCATTAAATTAGTATTTTATGTGTTTTCTGTAAACATGACAATGTTTTAGTATTTATTCGTATGTAACAAGATATTGTTAAAAACGACTTTTAAAATAAAAAAGGAATCCCTTTTAATCTCTATTGTAAACTTAACTTGTAATTTCACGGTTTAAGAATATTAAAAATCTTAAACATTTACTCTACTTTGCAAGCGTTACATAAATCTTATGATTTAAATGAATACTATATTTAGCATTAAAACATTGAATAGGTTGTTATGATCAAACTATATTTCATACGAAGCAATCTTTCAGTAGACAAATTGTCATGCAGTTTGATTGCAGTGAAAGCAAATTATTGCTTTGTAATATTAGTACGATAAGTACGCGCTTATTAATATAATTTGTCAAAATCTTACAGCAACTGAAAAAGAACCTCTCCACCAAAGCTCTAAAAGAAGAAGAAAAACCAGCAACATCACCAAAGCAGCAGCGAGAAAACGATGTTGTGTCACCACCTCCAGTCTCAGCTCAGGTGAGATAGAATTCATTCTATATCTTGAATTTATCTTATTTATTATAGTCATGTGTTTTAAGTCTCGAGGTAATAATACTCTTGTGATATAACAGTATTAAAAGCTTAGAAATACTGCATCAAAATTGAGACATTTTTTAAAAACATTATATAAAAGAGTTAACGTTGAAAGTTGTATCAAAAATGTAGAAAAATGTTGCACATGGTTACAGTGATAGGATTTATACCCATATCTGTGGTCACACAGTATGTGTGTATGGTGTGTATTATGATAATGTCCTTCGGACCAAATTTTGGTTATGCTGGCCAGTTTCAACGGAGACTAGCCATATGCGCAAGTCAGGATTAAAGTAAACAAGTGTATGCGTAAACGCATTTCCTATTCCATCACTCATAAGCGACAATTCGACATAACTAGGGAAAGATCAGGCACAGGATCAATGGCGTTACTTGCCTTACTTGATTCACGAGGGTGAAATACCGCCAACTTTTTTGTTTCGGTCTGCTACTGAGAATGTTAAAAAAATTTATGTAACTAGGTGGTTACTCGTAATTCCTTTACGCCTAGGACGTTTGGATTTTCCTACTCCGCCGCCAAGTGGCAATGCTTGCACTGCTGTGTTTGGGTGTGAATGGTATAGGGATTCCCGTATAATTACAGGTTATTATACTTTAGTCCACAGAGTTGAAAATGCATTTGTAGTTTTCCTTGTTTGAAATTGGCTTCAGCTAACCGTGGACTGCAGTTGTCACTTAGTTTTGCAACGGTGTCGCACGAGAGGTGGTAAGTGTGGCGGTTATGTGTGCAGGGCGGGGGCGGCGGCGGGTGCGCGGCCGGCATGCTGGCGGCGCTGGTGGCGGAGGCGGGCGAGGCGGGCGGCGAGGCGCCCGTGGTGTTCAGCGACGAGCTGGCCGGCGCCGAGGCCGACGCGCCGCCCGCGCACGCGCCGCTGCGCCACGCACTCGACGACGACAACGCGCACACCGCCTGCCTCAGTAAGTACCACGCACGCACACACGCACATACACACACGCGCACTCACTACCAATCGGATGTCCGGTAATTAATGTAAGACCTTGAAATGTTTCACAAAATAACTAACAACCACTCCAAAAAATATAAAAAAAGAAGTAGTATTAAAAATCATGTTTTTTATACTACTTCAGATGTTTTACTTAACTTGCAGATGTAAAATTATTTTCTCCGTGCAGTTGGGCTCATAAATAATAGCTCGGCCTCAGCCCGTCTAGGGCAGTGAGCATGTTGCGCGGGCGCACTACCATTATCGATAACAACAAATGAATCATCGAACGCAGGTACACGGCGCCGATGCGGTATACAAAGGATGGTGCGACATTGTTATGTTGTTAATCATTTGTTTTCCGTTATTACCGTTTCCGTTATTAATACCTGCAAATTAGTGGAATGATAATTTAATACATAAATATAAATAAATAAATAAAATAAATATACCAGCACAAGCACATGTTGCTATCAACAATGTTTAATATTTTGCACTGAAATGAAAATGGATCCCGAAAAGTTACAAAGTGTTAATTTCTGCCGTTCTCGTTGACTTGCTGCGGCGATATGTGGTGTGAGTGTGTGAGCGGTCGACAAAGTTAAAAAGAGTGTATAAAGGGAGAAGCTAGCTCTCCGCGAGAAAGCGTCTATCGGCCTTGTGCAGTAACTGCGTTGGATGAGTTTGACAAAAGTGTAATTAAACAAATAGCGTCATCGTTTTATCGCTACGGTGAATATCCTTCCACGGCTAAAATTTTGAGTACAGCAAAAGAAATAATTGACGGATTCCAGTGTTTTATTTCTTCTATGCTTAAAATACTCATAAACTATATACACCGACATCAGCTAACAAAAAGAGTGAAATTCAGAAGTGGCTCCGCCAACACGGGTTTGAGTTTAGTGATAGTAAGCTCAAGCCGGAACTATTAAAAAAGGTATTACAGATTTTATTATTAAAAATTTGCAATACATTTGTTTTCTTTTAAGTATTTAGTTGAATATACAAACAAAATTATATTTATAGGTGCAACGGAACCGACCAGAAAAAATATACAAATTGGATCAGTTAGCTTTGGAGTCAGGACACGAAGTGATTCCCTTACCACCTTACCATTGCCAATATAACCCAATTGAGTTAGTATGGGCTCAAGCAAAAAATGAAACTGCCACCCAAAACAGCACTTTTAAAATTGCAGACGTCGAAGTGTTACTGCATGAAGCAATTTCAAACGTTTCGCAAAAAAAAAACTGAGAAGATTGTGTGAAGCATGCAGAAAAACTCCAAAAGGAAGACTTGAAGAGATCTCATCTGGCAGAAGATATCGTAATTCATGTGGATGACGGTGACTGATGATTCTGATGTAGAATTTTAATGTAAATAGTTTTAGATTTAATTTTAGATATAAGGTATTATCTTTATATTGATTTTTAATATAACTTGTTACATTCCAAACATTTGTACTTATAGTTTTTTTTTAATACATAGATATCTAATTAATAATTTATTTTAAACCATTATTATTCTTATTTTAATAAATACGTTGTTTTATCTATTTTTTCCATTTTTATCACTAACCCACATAATGACAAAACTAAATACACTATCGACAACAATAATGCGCATCACTATGCTCACGGGCCTTAGCCGTGAGTGGGAGAGAAAGTTATCTTCTACATAATTCCGTAAAAGTCTACTGTAGGTCTTGCACCTTGAAAGAGTATTTATCTTAATCGTCACGCTCGGCTGAGGCTGACGATCGTGACAAACATGTTCCTCATTGTTGATCTGGTAATTTTACGCCATTATTGAGGCCTTTTGAAAGTAATGGATGAACTTTTGATACTTATAATGAAAGAATGAATGAATGTTACTAAACGAATATACCCTCAAAGTATATCGGATACCGTAAGATTTTTCTAGCATTTCACTTGATCACCTCTTTGTACAACCACGGGGCGAAATAATTTAATTTTTAATACTGACACTACTTGGTTATACTTTATACGTGCTACTTTCAATGAAATATTCTGCATAAATAAAATGTTAACTCTTACAGTAACAATGCTGGCAACAGTCCCATTAGCCACTCCAAATATGTCACTCCACTACACTAACACTACACACATCTAACTATCGTAAATAATGATGCTTGGAGGATGTGAAGTGGTAGAATTATGGATTCAAACTGAACATGAAGAAACTGAAAATGAAGTCTACCCGTAATTATCGAGCTGCTGTGGCTTTATAGATTTTTAAGTTCCCGTTTGCAAGTTGTTACAATCTGTTATATTTTGAAAAAAAAAATGTGGATTTGTTGCTTATATAGTTTTTTACCTCTTTTTTACTTACTGTCATATATTATATAAATTTATTGCTGATGTCTCTATGCTTTTACTTTTATTAAATAATAAGTTCATATCATAAGGGATGTAAAACTTTCACCACAACCACATTTCAATTACTTATCTTAATAAGTAATAGGGTATTTTACATCATGTAAGAAAAATTCAAATCATCTATATTTATGATAGGTTTTATAATAAGTAAACGAGAAATATTGATTTCTATTTATAAAAATGCGTTATAAATTTTATAATTCAATTTTAAGATATTTTTTTTTTCTTCTGTGCCTCTAATCTCCAAAACGCTATCCGCCATTTTAGAATCCGTCGTAACGTCACAGGCTAAGTAAACTAGCTAATGTATTGTGTGTTATTTCGAAATTTTTCAAATCATCATTACGATTGTTGAGTGTTAGAGACGGATTCGTAAAAGCAGAAAGTACTAATCTTATCATCATCATCATCATTACAGCCCTTCACAAGTTCACTGCCGAACATAGGCCTCGCCCAAATAATGCCACAAAGCACGGTCCTGAGCCACCTGCATCCATCGACTTCCTGCATGTCTTACCAGGTCGTCACTCCATCTAGTGGGGGGTCGCCCTACACTACGCCTGCCGGTACAAGGCTGCCACTCGAGAACCTTTCTTCCTTATCGGTTATCGGTTCTTCGAGCTATATGACCGGCCCATTGCTACTTTAGCTTACTAATCCGTTGGGCTATGTCGGTCACTCTGGTTTTATTGCGGATATCCTTATTTCTGAGTCTATTACGCGGAGAAACTCCGAGCATAGCCCTCTCCATAGCTCGCTGAGCGACCATGAGCGTCCTCATACGGCCAGCAGTGAAGGAACACGTCTCAGATCCGTAAGTCACCACTGGCAACACGCACTGGTTGTACACTATAGTTTTCAGAGACTGAGGTATACCTGACGAGATAAGTCGTAATTTCCCGAACGCTGCCCAGCCGAGTTGAATTCGTCGATTGACCTCTCGGTCGAAGTTGCACTTACCTAATCGGACTATTTGTCCCAGGTAAACGTACTCGTCAACGACTTCGAGCATAGTGCTTCCAACAACTACCGGCATAGGTGTGACATGGACATTAAACATGATCTTTGTTTTGTCCATGTTCATCTTAAGACCTATCCGTTGGGAGACACCATTGAGGTCATTGAGAATAGTGCTAGGGTCCTCCAGCGATTCTGCCATAAGGACTATATCGTCGGCAAATCGAAGGTGAGTGATGTACTCGCCATTGATGTTAATACCGTATCCTTTCCAGTCCAGTAGCTTGAAAACGTCTTCCAACGCAGCGGTGAAGAGTTTCGGGGATATTACGTCACCCTGTCTTACACCTCTCTGCAATTGGATAGGTTTCGAACTCTAGTTCTGTACTTGGATAGCCATCGAAGCCCTACTGTACAAACACTTTAGCACTTCGATATACCGACAGTCAACTTGGCACCGCTCAAGGGACTGTAGCACCGCCCAAATTTCGACGGAATCAAAGGCTTTCTCATAGTCCACATATGCCCGGAAAAGTGGCAGATTGTCCTCTTCGGCTTTCTGTACAATCTACCGCAGGGTATGTATGTGCACGATCCCCGATCTGGCACGATCTCATGACGACATGGAGAGAGCGACTGTCGCAACCCCGTGCTGGGCACGCCACTATAGCGGCGATAAGACCCCTCTTTGAGGAGTGGCTTGAGAGACGCCACGGCATCCTCACCTTCCGCCTGACGCAGGTCCTCACCGGACACGGTGTGTTCGGGAGGTTCCTGCACCGAATCGGGCGGGAGGAAACGCCCGGGTGCTCCCACTGCGAGGACGGACCGGAGGACACGGTGGAACACACCGTGGAGGTGTGCCCTGCTTGGGCGGAGCACCGCCGTGTCCTCGTAGCGGCGATAGGCGGCGGTGACCTCTCGCGTCCGGCCCTGGTCGAAGCCATGGTCCGGAGCGAGACGGAATGGGATGCCGTCACCACCTTCTGCGAAGTGATGCTAGCGAAGGAGGTGGCGGAGCGGGAGAAGGAGAGAGCAGCAGCTTTCCTCCCCGGCCGCCGCGGGAGACGCCCCGGGCGTCTGGGGCTACGTCGTGGCCCCCGGCCACCGTAGGCACGGGCCTGTGGACGGCGAGCAATGGGTAGCTCGCCGTCCGTCCGTCTAACGACGACAGGCCGTGTCGACGGCGCGTTTTGTTCCATGCGCGCCTCAAAGAGCTGTCAGCAGCGTGAAGGGGCCCGCAAGGGCCGACGCCTGCCGGGGCTGCGGGCTGTTCGAAAGAGATACCGAGCGAGACTGAAGGAACACGGATGGTTTTTAGTCAGTAAAAGTCTGACACTCCCTTACGCTCCACCCAGAGCGAAAGGCGTCATTAGATGATTTTCCATCCGCAAAAAAAAGGGTATGTATGTGGTCTATGGTACTGAAGCCTTTTCGGAAACCGGCTTGTTCGGGAGGCTGGAAGTCGTCGAGTCTGCGTGCGAGACGATTCGTAATGACTCTCGAAAACAGCACGTAGACGCGGCTCAGAAGGGAAATCGGTCTGTAGTTCTTCAAGAGAGCGTTGTCGCCTTTCTTGAAGAACAAGACCACCGCACTTCTGCTCCACGCCTCCGGAGTAGTGCCACCATGGAGGACGGAATTGAAGAGCTTCTGAAGGTCTTCAAGTACCGGTGTTCCACCCGCTTTCAGAAGCTCCGCTGTAATTCCATCCTCGCCTGGCGCCCTACCGTTTTGGCGCTGGAGAGCTATTCTAATCTCGCTCAGACTGACGTCCGCGATATCAACGGAATAGTGTCGGATAAGACTGCTTTGATCGTTACTAACTTTGGATGATGTGTACAGCTGCCCATAGAACCTCTCAATCTCACTCAAAATTTCAGGTGTCTCGGAAACGATGCTGCCACATTCTGTCTTCAGCTTTGACAGCTGGCTCTTTCTGGCAGACAGATCTCTGGCAAAGACTTTGGAGCCCTGGTTCCGCTCGATCGCTTCTTTAATACGAGCAATGTTAAAGTAGCGTAAGTCTCGCCGCATGCATTTGGAGATCTGTCTGTTCAGTTGCCTCTATGCTGTCAAATCTGTTGACGATTGCAGCCTCGTCTCCCGTCTAACAGCCATGAGATTAAGAGTGTGATCGGAGAGTTTTTGTGTTCTTCTGCGGCGGGTTTTGCAAAACTTAGCTCCGACCGCATGGGCAGTTTCCACGAGCTTGTCATTCATATCGTCCACTGCATTGCAATCTTCTAGGCACTGAAAGTGGTTACGTAACTCGAGCTGAAAGGTTTCAGGATTCTAGATTAGAGCACGAGGGGACGGAGCGTTTACTTCATTAGACGAGACCTCTCCAACTTAACGTTTAGGTTCAGTGTGCTTCTAACCATTCGGTGATCGCTGCCAGTTTTTACCTTTGCGATCACTGAGACATCACTGAACAGTTGGCGTCTGGTCGTCATAATGAAGTCAATCTCATTTTTTGTCGAACCGTCGGGGCTCGACCAGGTCCGCTTCCTGTGGGGCCGCTTCTGGAAGAAAGAGTTCATCATAAAGAGTACCTCTTTCTCCATAAAGTCTGCTGGCCTCTTCGGTTCCGTTGCTACTCCAAATTTCCCTAACTTCAGCTCACTGTTTTTTCTTGTGCCTAGTTTTGCGTTGAAGTCTCCCATCAACACCGTGTAGTGGGTTTTGGAGGAATGCATGGCTCTGGAAATATCCTCATACATTTCCTCCACCTCCTTGTGCGTAAACCTGTATGACCTTCAGCGAATACCGTTTGGTGATTCTGAGTATCAGGTACGCGACCCTCGTCGACACACTTCCAATCTTTACGACGTTGTTCACGAGAGACTTGTGGACGATAAATCCGACACCTCCTTGGGACAGATGGTCGCCCTCCCGGTGGTAGAACAAGTTGCCGGCTCGAGGATTACCGTATCCTCCCCCTCTCTTCGGACCTCGGATAATCCAATAATATGCCAGCGCAACTTGTCTACCTCTTCTTCCAGCTCCAGTATTTTCTCGTCAGTCCTCAGGGTGCGTGCGTTATATGTTGCCAGGTCGAGTCTTCGTAGGTGGCAACCGAACCTCCACCGGAGATTCTTAGCACCCCCTGCCCCGCCGTTACCATGGTCGCCACCGTAGCCAGGAATAGCGGGGCCGCCGGGGACTGGGGGCCGTTTGTTTGCGTCGTTATTCATGGGGGGATATTTGCCACAGTTGCCACGCTTGGCGAGCGGGTTGGCAACCGCAATTTTTTCATTATATCGCTGTTGTTATCAGGAAGATGCTGCTGCCCATCTCCTGCATGTCTAGTCACTAAGTACTAATCTACCTAGGATAAATACATACAATACATTGATGGTGGCAAATTTTTTGCATGCAATCCAGATTTTTGTTCTACCGAGTTGAGAAATATTAAAACAGCAATGTAAGTACCTATTACCAACTTTTGTTTATAAAATAATCCAATACCAAGTTAGAGTGTATTTTGATAATACATAGTTATGTTTATCTATGATTACAATCATTAGCAATTGCAATCTATTACGAAATTTGTCTTGTAATACTTATCACCTCATGGTGTTTTGTTTCGTATAAACAACAATTAAATATGAGTCATACTTACATCAGAATGATTCTCATAGATGTATAGTCTAATTTTTGTAACAATGTATTCGAGTATCTTCTTGCCAGTTTTAACCAAGCATTTCTCATATTTTTAAATCAGTTGGTGCTTGAATCCATAACTTCCCCGGCGTTTCTAAGCTCGTATTTTTGCATTCAGGTACAACACACTAATGATAAAGATGATATCTCATTATTAAATATCAAAATATCCTATCTTATTCCTTTGGGAAGTCGGCAAAATTCTAGGGCAGTGACGGCTCGAGCTTAACAGAATGGCGGCTAGCGTTTTCACGCGAAAATTTAAAACGATAATTTTAAAGTAATTTATATGGCACTATTCTGTTCTAAAAATGATGTATATAAAATTATAGTGGGTAATTGTCACTCAAGGATTCATTTAAAACACTATAGGAGAAAATTTAAACGTTAAATATTTTTATTTCGTCACCATTATTTGTCATTTTTATGTATTGAATAAAAAAGTGGCTGACATTGGATCATATCTTATTTATCAACCCATAATATATTATCAACCCATATAATATTATTACTAGAATTTTACAAATTTTTACAAATACCTAGAATTTGTATAACAATCAGCGTCAAGGGCGTTGTAGAATACTACGATCTTCAATTATCGGGCATTGCATTTATAACACCTTACTTTTTAATCATATATTTTATTTTTCAATCTTTAGAATGGGCACTGCAAGGCTAATAAGTTTTTATTAGTTTGTAGGATAGTGTTACATTTGAATTTGTGAACCTGATAAAAAAATTGGTCCTTTTAGCCAGATCCCATGAATAAGGCGAAAGGCAATATATAAGTAGTGTGTGTGGTGTTGTTGTCCGCAGTCGAGCTGGTGAACTCGCAGGTGGTGCTGAAGGGGTGCGAGACGCGCGGCTACGTGATCCTGTGCGCGGCGCGCGCCGAGGTGCGACAGCGCGTGCGGCGGGCGCCCGCCGCCGTGGCCTGGAGCGGTGCGCTCTCCGCCATGCAGTACTACGCCACCGTCAGCGCCGCGGACCGCGACCAGCTCGATGGTAACCGCTGCCGACCGACCATTATCACATATTGTTTTTTGGCTTTATTTATACTCGTATTTACACCAGTATATGGTATAGATACCTTACTATTATGGGTGAGTTTAGTTCCTTCTCCTGATTACTGATGACGAGGTGATTTGAGCAACCAAAATCTATTTAGTACTCCGTAAGAGTAAAGTGCACGTTATATTAGTTTCCTTTCATATAGTAAGTAGGATTTGCCTTCCATCGATGACGAGGTGATTAGCTATCGTAATTTAGATTTTATATTTGGCAATAATACATATTCACACTTCCGCCATCCACAATTGCTTTACAAAATGAGATGGGGTAGGTATATCGTATGTACTGTTTTATGTCTTGCTAATAAACACAATCTATAGTATATGAAAGCTTTCACTATAGTCAATAAACCAAGAGATCTCTCCCCTAGTGTGTCAAGAATCCTGTGCGATTCCTTGCACCACTATGGCATTAGGCTATGTACGATCCAACCGTACATTTCTGCTGGCATTAACATTTTACGTGAAGCAATCGCTATAGTTCGACAACTATAAAAATTGTGTTAGTTCATGTATCACCTTAACTGCGACGGACACGAACTCCTCAACATAACATTTAACATCTTTCAACATATTTTAAATTACTTTTTTTACTTCTTTATTAAACTGTTTTTAATAAAATTTTAATTATTATTAAACATACGTCCAATGCCCGAACAGGCCAGGCTTTTTACTTGGACAAATGTATTTCGCAGAGAACATCCAGTGGGTGTCGGTGGAGGAGATCGAGGAGCGGTGGGCGGGCGCGGAGATCAGCGCGCTACCCGACGTGCCGCGCCTCGTGGGCAGCGGCCACTCCGCGGGTGGCGTCATCGGGCGCACCGTCGGGCCCAGCGCCGACGCGGGTCTCGCACAGGTTGGCTCGCACGCACGCACACATGCGCACACACATGCACAAGCAAGTACGTATACGTACATCATACATACATTTCCATGTGGCTGGATAACACTCGTTATATTAGTTAACATTCATTGACACTCGTGTCGAAACAAAACTTTTTATATGGATATTAATATATTATACTTTTATAATTTATTTGTTAATTAGAAAAAATAATTTATGTATGTACATACAGTTGCAACGCATCGTGTCGCGCTGCGCGTGCGAGTTCTACTACGTGACGCACGAGGACACGGACACGGGGGCGGGCGGCGCGGCGGGCGCGGGCTGGGCGCACGCGCCGCAGCCCTACGACTCCTTCACGCTCATGCACCACGACCTCGACGTGTGCACCAACTCTCTGCAGGTAACGGACAATGCGAGCTGGCTTTTTTTACTTTTCTTGAACGTGTAGAAACAAAAACAGAAATTATTTTATTCAATATAGATTAATAATACTTATTGAAAATCATTCTTTTGTTTAACTACCACTGGTTCGGAAAAACCTCTGTTCTGGGAAGAACCAACTAGAAACCCAGTGGGACTTAAAAAAATAACAGCTTATAATCATGTTTGTTACACAATTGATCAACACAAAACAAATTAGAAATAGCTTGGAGGCGATCACCTCATTCCCAAAGGTTATTATCATCCATAAATTCCTTAAAATTAAATAACCCCTTTTATAGAAGCTTAGTTCTATAAAGTTTTTGAACTTTGAGCAGGTCAAATTTTGAACATTTTCCGAAATTTTGTTGTAATAAACGTATACATCGCCCCAAGAATGAATTACTGACTCAGTTGAGTCAAAGAACATATACACTACGCGAAAAGAAACGACACTTAAGCATGTGTGCACATAAAATCGCTTGCGGCTGTTTGGATGTGTGCGGGGGCCTTGAGAGGCGTGGAACGGGCAATCGCCGACTGCCGACTGCCCTGGCCGAGGGCTAGTAGTAATACCGACAGTTGTCAGTATTAGTTAATATGAATATATTCGTGAAGTGATATTATAATATTTCAATTAATATATGAATATTACTAATATCTTAATGTACGTATTACTATTCTATTCATGTAGGTATTAAGTTTATGTTACCAAGTAACGTTATTAGTTTTTATAGCCGGTTGATATGCTTTGATAAATATTAATGTTGTTATTAAATAAATGATATTATATTATATGTATAAGTAATACTGAAAGTGATTTTAAGTGATTAGAATTAAAATAAATTTCACTGCACAAAACAAGGGCCCTTGTTTTGTTAGTTTAATTTTTAATAATGTTTTATGATACCTAAAAATATGTGAACTCGTTTTAATGAAAGTCGATATGATCTTAACAAGAATTATGGTGAAATACCATGACAATAAAACTAATATATCGCCAATAATTTTATTATATTACATTAACTGAAATATACACTATTAAAAATACCACTAGAAAGTCAAGAAATTTTAGATATGTATAAAGAGTTTTTGTATTTGTTCATTGTTGTATTTATGGATTATTTCATTAGAAATAAAAATGACTTATCTCCTCAACACATAGGGAACAATTTGTTGGCCGCCATGTCCCAGGAAACCTGCATACCTTTGGATTTTCTAAAAAAATATACATGCTACAAATTTTTGCAATTGTTAGAAATAATAATGAAAATTAAAAAAATTAATCGAAAAATTCAAAAATATATAAGAGTAAATTATTTTTAAAGGATAGTAGGTAATACTGATTATTGCGTACTGAAATACTAAGTGTTGGTTAATTATTTAAGATTACTATTAACTGTCGTGCATATTTGGTTTTGTCGGAAGTTTTAATATGCCTCATTTAATAAAAGTTGATTTAAAATTGAACGTATCTTTCACCACCCAAATACATAAGTTTACATAATATATAACATATACCTACTATGTATCTTCTTTGGTACAAGTCTATAATATTCCATTTCGGTTTGATATCAACCCTAGCGTTACACGCTTCGACTCAAGGTCACCGGCGCTTAAGCTCTCACGTACAAGGAGTGTCACCGCTGTGGTTGAGTCGAGTAAATGATAATACTAATTTGTGTTTGTTCCTAATATTTATAGAATGAATGTCATTGATTTTTGTAAAACCAATTTTTTTAATTCGTGTAAGTATATTACATTTTCATGAATGTATTGCGAGGCCGAAATTAATATATTAATTTCCTTAAATATTTGTTCAAGTGACTCTTTAGGTTTTAAAAGATTGCTCTTATGGCACTCTTCTGTAAAACAAATATTATTTCAGTGTCAGTTATGTGTCCCCATAGCAAAATACCATACGACATTATGCTATGGTAATAGATGAAGTAAACTAGTCTAGCTGTTTCAACGTTGGTATGATTACTAATCTTTTTACAGCATATGCTGCAGAGCTAAGTCTGCTTGCTAGTTTTGATATAACAGGGTCCCATTGTAGCTTCGCGTCTAGTGTGATTTCAAGAAAAGTTATGGTATCGACAAGACTCAGCTCATACCTTTTAAAATTACATTAGTATTTAACATGTTTGACATTCGGAATTATGAATTTTATACATTTAGTGTTAGTGCCGTTTAAATGCAAATTATTACCATTAAACCATTTTACTAATTTAGATTATTTTTAAATTATTTATTTCGTCATATTTTAGTAACTGATGTTTAAATTTGATAATTAATGAAGTGTTATTAGCAAATAATGTTATGTCATGGTGGATGACCCCTACTATGTAAGGTAAGTCATTTTACGTAAGTCACGTGTCCTGACGCGAGTATAACATTTTTTACACATTACAAAAAAAGTGTACTACGCCGCTAAAGCAGTTTTCACTTCAAAAATCTGGATTATTTTGATATTAAAATAATGGAAGATTTTTTACTATGTTACTTGTAAACTCCTCCAAGCGACGTGCATTTACGGGAACAAACACAACTTTCTTATCTACTTGCTTAAGGTAACGAATTATAATTGTCCACAGTGATCAGAAGTCAAGTTATATACATTAATGTAACGGCTTAACATTTGTGAATATTGCATGTTGCAGTAGATTCAGCAATACGTGTTGGCTTGGAAAATAAAATAAAAAGACCATATGATTTAAGCAATGCTCTAAATTAAATATTGATGGGGGAGGCTTCTAGGAGATTGATATTGGAGTCTCCACATATCCCTTCAACAGTAAACGCCATTGCGGCTACCTACAGGTCACACATCACTACAGATTTATTCTGTTATTAAGCTTAACAAAAACTTCCTCCATATTTTTTTAAAAACTATCATGTACAGAACATGGGGGTCTGTAGACCACATCATATCACAACAATGAGGTACTCAAACTCAACACATTTCATTTCTACAGTTCACTCAACAGAGAGACTCACTATATCTTTACGTTCTCTACGTGATAATAATTTACTAGCTGATATTAAGGAGCCACCTAAAACTGTTTCTCTATTGAAAGAACTGACCACCTGGTGATTACTGAAGTTGAACATTAAGCTTTTAACCAATGTTGAGTAATACATAAAATATGAATATTGTTGCTATTTAAGAACAATTCAATTTCTAGCTCTTTGCCTATCATGCCTTGTATATTTTGATGCACCAGGTGTAAATAATTTTTATTATCATTTTGTGGAGTCATACAATTAATTTGCAAGTCCCCGGGTGAGGATGGAATTACAGCGGAGCTTCTGAAGGAAGGTGGAAAACCGGTACTTGAAGTCCTTCAGAAGCTCTTTAATTCCGTCCTCCATTAAGGCACTACTCCGGAGGCGTGGAGCAGAAGTGCGGTGGTCTTGTTCTTCAAGAAAGGTGACAACGCTCTCTTGAAGAACTACAGACCGATTTCCCTTCTGAGCCGCGTCTACGTGCTGTTTTCGAGAGTCATTACGAATCGTCTTGCACGCAGACTCGACGACTTCCAGCCTCCCGAACAAGCCGGTTTTCGAAAAGGCTTCAGTACCATAGACCACATACATACCCTTCGGCAAATTTTACCGAAGTCCGAAGAGTACAATCTGCCACTTTGCCTGGCGTATGTGGACTATGAGAAAGCCTTTGATTCTGTGGAAATTTGGGCGATGCTACAGTCTCTTCAGCGGTGCCAAGTTGACTGTCGGTATATCGAAGCACCAAAGTGTTTGTACAGTAGAGCTACGATGGCTATCCGAGTACAGAACCAGAGTACGAAACCTATCCAACTGTAGAGAGGTGTAAGACAGGGTGACGTTATATCCCCGAAACTCTTCACCGCTGCATTTGAAGACGTTTTCAAGCTACTGGACTGGAAAGGATACGGTATTAACATCAATGGCGAGTACATCACTCAACTTCGATTTGCCGACGATTTAGTCCTTATGGCAGAATCGCTGGAAGACTTAAGCACTATGCTCAATGACCTCAATAGTACCTCCCAACGGATAGGTCTTAAGATGAACATGGACAAAACAAAGATCATGTTTAATGTCCATTTCACACCTATGCCCGTAGTAGTTGGGAGAACTAAGCTCGAAATTGTTGACGAGTACGTTTACCTGGGACAAGTAGTCAAACTAGGTAAGTCCAACTTCGACCGAGAGGTCAATCGACGGATTCAACTCGGCTGGGCAGCGTTCGGGAAATTACCATACATCTTCTCGTCAGGTATACCTCAAAACCTGAAACGAAATTGTACAACCAGTGCGAGTTGCCAGTGATGACATATGGAACTAAGACGTGGTCCTTCACTGCTGGCCGTATGAGGACGCTCAAAGTTGCTCAGCGAGCTATGGAAAGGGCTAAGCTCGGGGTTTTTCTGCGTGACAAACTTAGAAATGAGGATATCCGCGGTAGAACCAGAGTGTCCGACATAGCCCAACGGATTAGTAAGCTGAAGTGGCAATGGACTGGCCATATAGTTGAAGAACTGACAAGCGCTGGGGAAAAAATGTTCTCGAGTGACAGCTTCGTACCGGTAGGTGAAGTGTGGGGCGACCCTCCACTAGATGGAGTGACGACCTGGTAGGAAATGCAGGAAGTCGATGGATGCAGGTGGCTCAGGACCGTGCTTTGTGGCACACCTTGGGGGAGGCCTATGTTCAGCAGTGGACTTGTGAAGGGATGATGATGATGATGATACAATTAAGGATTTGTAAGCTACATTCGAAATTATTATCACTACTAGAGATTAGCTCTATTGGCTCATTTTCGTATATAATCTAAATTATATTTTTACACACCATAATTCGCTGTAGGAATATAATGGTTAGTATCATTAAAGCCAATTAAAAATCCACTACCAAATTATGCGGGGACTATGAGGGGATATTTGCCATGGTTATCATGCTTGCCAAGCGCGTTGACAACCGTAGTTTTTTTTTATTATAAGTGCTATCAGAAAGATGCCGCTGGTCATCTCATTCTTCAGTTTCCCTCTGTCACCTCTTACGAGACCCACGGGATGATATTGGTGATATATTCTTGTACCACCACAGCATGGTAAATCTGGTAAAAAATCAAATTACTATCCGTATTCAAATTCTTCATATTATGATTATGACTATTAATAAAAATAAAGTTGCATAAATAAATTCAATATACCGTAAAATGTGGCAACTTTGCAATTTTTTCAAGGACTTAAAAGTTTAGGATCAATTCTGCTACATAAAAGTTACTCTCAGACTAGGCGTCAATGTTAAAAGAATACAGTGTATATTCTTCATAGATTTCGTATTTATTAGTGATTGAAACAAATACTAACATTAAATAGACAAAATATTCAAAAGTAAAAAATGGCAAAGTTAACCTCGCTTTGTGGCGACTATGCCATCAGCGTTTATAATGAAAATAATAGGATTTGACATCAAAGTTGAAGGTAAGTTTACTTAGTAATATAATACGCAACACTCATAGTTATGTTTTTTTATTAACTGGCTTTACGGCTCTGGGTTCTAGCCCTTCTGAGCCTATCATTTCTTTCGGAATCATAATTTTTATATTCTTTTCTTCACAATATGCTGATGCGTCACATTGCGAGGCCCTTTGGAGATTTTGACGACAGCTCAACCCAGCGGACAGTTGATGACGACAGCCACTCGAGTTCATGAGGCACCCAAGCGATCAAATTAACTTGAGATTTATATCGACATCAAAGCACTTGTTTCGTCGTTTTCTCTAATAGTTCACACGCGTGGACACTTAATTCACAAAATCGCATCACTTTTAGGAATCAAAATCCACTTCAAACCATTATTTAAGCGACAAAACAGGAGCGACAATCCGTCTACGGCCAAGTTCCTGCCAAAACTTTCATAGTTAAGCGCTTATTACATTATACAATTTTTAGAAAATCTAATTAGGAACCTAAATTGGAAGCTAGTGATCACATAACACTAAATTGAATTCTAAATCGTGACGGAGCGCATTCGTAAAGAAGTATCGACGGGGTTGCACGTTTGATCGATGGCGCCGTATTTATCAAAAGCTGAAAATAGGACTTGCCTTAGCCGTGGTGGGAACAAAGGATATTAAAAAAAAGAAAAGAGTACTTGTCATTGAGAAAAAAACTGTCCAATGTGAATATAATTATATATTTTTAGATTTTAAGCAGTTTTTTTATAGGATAGGGTGACAAATTAGCACACATTCCACCTGATGGTAAGTGGTTGCTGCGGCCCATGGACATCTACATCTATCTCCGATTACAAATCAAAATGCAGAAGATTTAAAGTACTGCTCTCTGATATCAGAACCGCTTCTATCAAAACTTCAAGACATCCGCTTCTATCAAAGCGCGGGCGCCGACTGGTTGTTCTAAACCGTAACGTTGCGATTACACTGTCCTAAATTGTAAACAATTTAGGAAGTAGAGCGGTCGGGACCTCCAATTTGACTAAATCAGATTCTAACTGTTCTAACTACGATTATACCATCCTACTTCCGAATTAGATTTTCTAAATATTGTATAATGATATAATGTAATAAGCGCTTTATGTTTTACCCCTTTAACCATGGAGGTTAGAGACAAGGAGAACGATCGCTACGTGCTAAAGCATTAACATGCACATGTCCCTGAAAATTTGTAGAATTTATAGCCGCGCTGCCGTCGGTAAGTAGTATTCTGCGAAGTTAGCTGTTTATGACTACAAGTGGATGAAGTTAGTTGAATAATGTAATTTTTTAATTTTTGACAAAAAGAAACATAAAAAAATAGTGAAATCTTATTAAAAAAAAGTATAATTTATATTTGTAATAATTTATAACATTTATAATAATTAAAATTATAAAAAACATATTAAATAGTTTATTTATTTATAAATAATAATAATAAATAGTAATAATTTCGTTATTTTCTTTTTTTCTTCTTTGAATGATATTATATACACGTATATTTAATGTTGATAGATCATTTCAAACTAGTGCACAACAGCCCGCTTTTATTGAGACAACTTGGCGATCGTTCTCTTTTCATCTAACCTCCATGCTGTGCTGCAAACACCAAAATTTACGCTTGTGGCAAAGTTGTCCTCCCATTTTTCAATTTTTCATACAAACTTGAAAATATGTGTCAGGGTTGTAAAAATTTTTGATTACGTCCTTTACTTAATTCATTTATTTAAATCTTTTCACAATAATTTCTTGAGACAAAAATCTAAAATATATCAAACAAAAATACTCTGCTCTAAAATTAAGAGTCAAATTGGTGAAATAATAAGCTTAAATCAATTATACTATAGTTCATAAATAAAGCTTGTCATAATAACATTAATAAGTATTCGTTTTTTTTATTAGTCATCACTCATCGTTATCATTATATTACGATCAGGTAAAAAAAATTGTAACCAACCTAAATATTGTTTTCTCAAAATAGCAAAACATTCATATTTACTAAAATGACACTATTATTTGGGTTTAACATCAACACAATAAGTTGAAAAAGTAAGAAATACAGATTAGTAATAATATTATTACTACCCCACAACGCAGTAAAAATAATATAGATTTCTCTTTTCTTTTCCTTAACTTTTGATAGAGATGAATTGATTGACAACTCGTTTGTTTAAATAGCTGCTATGGTGAAGATTCTATATATAAACGTACATAGAATTTCAAGTACGGAATCTTTTCTATGATTCGACGTAATCGGTTAAATATATAGGTTGAAAGTGACAACCCTTGCTTGTAACAAAACATGGTAAAGTGGCCGTCACAACGTGATATCACTATTATGGTAACTTTGTCAAGTCAGTTTTATATACAAAATGTTGACCACCATGTTAAAAACGAAATACTACATGTTCTAACCATTATTATTACGTTACTATAAATATATAGATGCCTACATTCAGTATTTAAATCAAAATCAACAAAAGTTCTAGTGTACTGAAGAATAGAGAGGTTAAATCGCCGGCATAATTTCAAAACATAGCTGTCAATTTATTAAATTTTCATCCTAAAAATGGCATATCTCGCAAAACGTTACATGGTCCATATTAATCGTAATTTTGTACCTTAACATCGCTGATGGCAAAATTTACTTCCATTGGTAAAGTTGCCTTACTTGACTGTACATAAATAAAAACAACTAAACTATAAGACTTAATAACGATATGTCCATTGCGTGCGCAGTACGCGATGCTGCTGGACGTGGTGAACAACGTGGTGCTTCGCGTGGAGCCGGAGCGGCGGCGGGCGCTGGAGCGTCGCGCGCGCATGCGCTTCCAGCTGCAGCTGCACCAGGACCGCGACCACCGCCACCTCATACACCGGCTGCAGACGCAGGTGTGTTTGTGTTTTTTTAATGTTAAATGTGTGTGCGTGTGAGAGAGTGCATGGCGTGCGTGTGTGTAATTGTCTTAAAATCGCAAGAGATAAGAATGTTTTTGACCTAATCGGCAGTTCCAATCTTAAATTTACTAGCGGAACCAATTGTAACGAAATAAGTAATATTGTACCTTCTGCGTTTATTTAAAAATTATGAACAATTTTTTTATTATTTGCATAAGTACCTATATTGATTTTATTTGACTCTTATTATGTTGAAGTATATATACTTAAGTAGCTTGCCAGGCAGACGTTGTTCTGCCCATTTCGACGACCCTTTGTCATGTCTTATTAAAAATCTTTATTTATTTATTTATTTATTTATTTACACTTTATTGCACCATAAAAAGATTACAAAGGGCGGACTTAATGCCATTAGGCATTTTCTCCCAGTCAACCCGGGACGTGTGGAAATTATGTGATAGGTGACAAAATAAAATGAACAATAGAGTAAATCAAGGAAAAAAAAACTACTGATAAACTTAAAAACAAACTAATATTATATATACAAATTCAATAAACTTATATACTCCAAAATATAATACAGATAATATATAATATATACATACATATTCATAGATACATAAATATATACATATTTTAAATACAAATAGATATATAATATAAACCTATAAATAAAATAACAACAAAGATAACCAAAATTAACCATATTAACTATCATCTAATATTTTCATAAAATGTTTATGTACCAATCTTTTAAAAGCAGTCTTATTAGATGTTTTTCTGACGTCATCGGGCAAGGAGTTCCAGAGCAGTGCAGCCTGAATTGTGAAGGATTTACCAACAAAATTAGTAAAATGTAGAGGGATACTTAGTTTATTATTATATGAGGAACGCAGAGTTCTATCACGCGTTAGGGAAATATATTGAAATTTTTCCTTGAGATAAGAAGGAGTGGATGGATCATTTAAGATAGAGAAGAGAACAAGCAAAATTCTAGTCACGCCTCTGTTTAATAGTAAGCCATTTTAGGCGAGAGCGATAGTGAGAAATATGATCAAATTTACGGAGATTAAATTCGCAAAAAGAAATTGTGGGTCACTCATGGGCAAAAAAACTATCCTATCTCTCAAGTTTGAACCAAACTGCACGCGGTGTGCAAATTTGACTAAAATCGGTTAGGTAGTTTAGGAGTCCATCGTGGACAAACAACTTGACACGTAATTTATATATATTAAGATTTTGCCTAGCTAGGTTCCAACAACATTTTTGTTCTAGATGTTATGTAATTAGTAAAGGTAAAATTGAGCGTTCAAGGCCCTTACAATGTTTTTGAGATTCAACATATTGTAGTATAATAAGTTTTTAAGGTGGTAGTTTATTTAATAAATATTGGTTGTTTAATTTTGATGTTTACGTAATTACTAAACTTATTTGATCTTAATTTTCAGAATAATCGTCACATCTTCGGTAGTATAGTGGTCAGTATCCCCGCCTGTCACGCGGGAGACCGGGGTTCGATTCCCCGCCGGAGAGTTCTTTTTTTACATTATTTATTTGAGTAGTATTAAATTTTTATAAGTTTGATAGGTATTTTCTTGTAATAATAAAAATTAGTAAAAATATGTAATTCAGTTTTTTAATAGAAGAAAGAGAAAAAATATATTTATATGTTTAGTGATTTAATTTTATTGTAATTACTTAGACACAAAAATATTTTTTACTATAAATATTAATAAATATTAAATGAGAAAATTACAGTAAAATATTCAGAATGTAATTAGAAAAATATTAAGAAATAAAAAAAAGAGACAAAAGTCTCTCCGGCGGGGAATCGAACCCCGGTCTCCCGCGTGACAGGCGGGGATACTGACCACTATACTACCGAAGATGTATATGTAATGTCGAAAATTAAGAACAGTACATTAAGAACACGTCATCGTAAAGTATATTTATTTTATATTTTAGGTTTTTTTTTATAATTCTCAGGTAAAGTTTTAGTGCTTAAAATACATGCCAATTGTTAAACCTTATGGACTTATTACCATATTGAATTGAAATGATATTAAAACACAGTTTTCGTATGATCAGGTGCGGGAATCCCTTGCGAGATTACGTCGGCTCGAGAAGGAATATTACCTGAAAAACAGATCTATTACGGGCAACGATCCAGTAGCTATAGCAGAGCTCAAAAGTCTCGATGATCAGGTAAATCTGTCTTAATTTATTGTTTTATTGAGTTGCTTTGCGTATCAAAAATATTTTTTCACGGGAAGTTTTTTTTTTGATTCGGAGCTTTTAAATTTTACACAATATACACTATACATTGTAACACAATTTTAATGAACGTGATATAGTAAAGAGGTCATTACCTTCATAATTGATAGGTGTTAACAAGAAAGTATTAATTAAAAAGTAAATAAATATAACTAGTAACGGTTCTGTTATAGTTTGGAAAATGTATTTGTTATACATGGATACTGTAATTCTCATAATATTTTAGTTTATATTAGTTTCGCTAGATGGCGTGGTGCCAGTAAAATCGTAAAATGGTCGTTATCTTTATTTTGGCCAATAAATTTTAAAATGATCTAAACAGCGAGTTTATTAGAATAACTAAACAAGAAATTAACAATAAATAAACTTAAAATTATATGTGATAAATATTACCTTTAAATATTTTGTAATATTGATTGTGACTACAAATGAAATATTTAATAGAATAGTAGCATTGTTAAAACCTTATAACTAATTGTAAATCCTTAAGGCAGGGAAGAAAATTGTAAATTATGAAGGATTTATCCGTTGTATTTGTTTTCTGGATGAAAAAATGTACTTTTAATTTCCGAAGTAATGTTGACGCCTTACGAATACGAATAGCAACTACTTGAGGATTTGAACATTAAGCTGTTTGATTTGTTTCGATAACTTTTAAAACTATCACAACCTATCAGATCCAAGGTAAGATAAAGTTGAAATTGAACAGTGGTTCATTTTTCCTTTCTTTGTTTTGTAACTTTTTTGAGAATGGGGTATTAAAATAGATTAATAAAAAGATGATGTCCTCCTGCTGTAATCGACAACTACGTAGAAAATATTGTAGTCCTAATTGCATACAGTATACGGTGGAAAAATCGTCTCACTGTGTACACTTATATCCCAATATTAAGCTAATGTGATAAGATCCTAGGTAGGATATGGTACATCATCAGGAAGGCTAAAGCAATGAAAACACAATCTGACATGAAAACCAAAAATTTGTGTTTTTCCATTAATGTTAGCTTTGCTGAACTACGGACCTAGTCTTTTCACAATGTTTTGATGTTCTGTGTTCGATAGGTTTTACCCTATTAACTACTAAAGCACAACAGAAAAAGTCCACTAATTGCCTTTTCTTATGTGAACGATTATTAACTGTGATGTACGCTACTTGCACCACAAGGCAACGCGTCTTTTGATTGTGAGAAACTTAAAGAGAGATAGGATAGAAAGTAACAAGTAATTATATATAATGTTTGGTACGAATGGGTCGGCTCGGTGGGGGGAAGGCACAGAATACCAGCGTAAAATAGTAGCTAATGCTGCTGTGTTTCGTATGGTGAGTGTAGAGAACCGGAGACCATTTTTGCTGGAAATGAGGCATTCCATCTTAGTCCTCACGGGTGACATCGCATCTGCATTTTGATTCGTACCCAAGGATAGATGTAGATGTCCATGGGCCACAGCAACCACTTACCATCAGGTGGACTATGTGCTCGTTTGTCACCCTATCCTATAAAAAAATGGCTAATAAATTATATTTCCTATATTAATGACGTAATAAATTAAATAAATTAACACTTTCACTGCCCGGTTTGCAGACACAATTATAGTAAGACAGTAGCAATTAATACGTAGTGCACGGGACAGCGAAAGGGTTAAAATTACTGTTTATCGCATTACCACTATGAATGTGAAGACATTTTGTCCGATTAAGACACTTCAGAACTTGTCATGTTTCATAATAGGATATAATATGTATGTTATAGGTGAAGAACATGGTAAATAAAATATTATGCGTGTCCAGTCACTAATTAGTTTTATAGATACATATCAAGGGACCCGAATTATATTTTCTAACATAAAAATACAATATTTCGCTAAATATGGTGACTATAGACATCGTGAGCACGAAATTTCACCTGCCCATTAGTTTTTTCATTAGATTTATAAGTCTGTCTGTTAAGTGGAGTTCAAAGGATCGGCCGATTGTCGTCGTTTATACATATAAAATACACATACACATACATTAAAAGTTATGAAATTTTAATTTTAATAAAAAAATTTACGGATTACTTTTTTTTCTTCATTAATTTAACTTATTATACTTATTATTATTTTTCGACGTTTCCGAGGTGTTTGACGTCCCGATGTCGTAGTTAGCCCGGACTACCTTCAGCTGTTGAATATTTATTTTTGGTCCGACTCCGATCTACGCCGAACAAGCTTACAGTACGTAGACTTGTCTGTCTTGTGTCATGTCCTGGTATATTTGGGTTACAATCCCAAACAGATGGTAGAGCACCCAGCCGTCTTCTCTATTGAAACTAGGATCTTTTTTAATTTGAACAGTCTCGCCAATAATCCTTGGTATGAGTTGGTGCTCCTTCGCGAGGATATGGTCTATCATATCTGATGTAATGGCGGCGACGTTCTTAAACATGTTACCATCATTCACGACGACGTTACGACGATCTTAACACAGACTACAGACTTCCCGGAGGGTCGATGCTTTTTGTCAGCTATATCTTCTTTCATGCGTGTTTTCAAAAGATCTATAACTTTTTGTTTGTTCTAGTTCAATTAAACGCTATAAAATCCGTAAAATTAGTTTAATTCAGTGTCAAGTAGGTATTCATGTAAATATAAGAAATCATTATCAGAATTGAATTTGTTAAGTCGTAAAATAAAGACATCTCATTTTAATACCGGCGCTCCGTGCTCACGATTTGTGGCGTTACGATCTTGTAAGCTAGTGTTTCACCACAATCCCATCTGGTGATATGTGGTGATGAGCTCCTAGATGGAAAATCGCATTGGCTAATCTGGTGCAGGTGAACGAATGCAAAGAGGCGGCGTGGTCGCTGGGTGAGGAGCTGGACGCGATGGTGCGCGCGTGGCGCGAGGCGCGCTCGGCTGCACCCGCCGTGCGCACGCCGCACGCGCCGCCGCACCGCTACAACGAGATCTGCTTCAAGTCCGCGCGCTGGCGCCTCACCGACGCGGACGGCCAGCTGGGCATCGCCGACCTGCTGCTCACCAACTTCCTGTGAGTATCCGCCGCACGCCGCACCGCTACAATGAGATCTGCTTCAAGTCGAATCATTGTCTTCATTAGAGTCCTTTGGGTGACGCTCGGGTTGCTCCATTATTTCCTGAACCAAGGGCTATGACTGTGGTAGGGAGGCACTCACGTGTAGAAGGAATATACCCTTGGTCATGTTGTGATTAAGATGTTTATTAGGCACTCCAACAACTGAGAGTATATAGATGAAAATAACTAATATGAAACATTCCACCACCTGTTGGTAGAGAATTCCTCAGTTATTAAGTTTTTATGAAGTCTTAAATAAATAACTATTTATTTAAAACTTCATAAAAATATTACCACTTAAAATTTATTAATAAAAGTAAAACAGCGAATTTAATTTGCTGTATTTTTCATGCAGGTATACAAAGACCTCAAGATCTGATGACTCTGTTGAGCACCAGTTGGAAGTTGGATACGTACGAGTCACAAATTTATTGCCGAATGAGCCTTTCCCCGAGGTAAGAATAGTAACGCTTGGGCACTTTTAAGTAGAATAATACATTGAACTTTTAATTTGTTGTTATTTTTGGATAAACGTCTAAGTATTATTGCCTCATTATTACTTTTTGATAAAATTTAAGGGATATTGCAAGAGTATTTAACTCGAATTGTCGAACGAGAATATATAATAATATAGTTTGTATAATGTTTCTTTCATTAGAAAGAAGGAAATATATCTACATTCACTTATTCATAAAAATCGCACTATAAATTTATGTATAATACTCAGATTTGTGTTAGATGTGTGGCTACTACTACTTTATTATATATTTAAATAGTACTGTAAATCGCTAATGCGCTTATCATTTGAAACCGCCTATAAGTGTGCCTGCAAGTCAACTATATTAATTACAACTATATTAATTTTTATATAATATTATAATTATTATAATATCATAACTTATAAACACCTTTGGTAGAATAGTTTGTTTAAAAAAAATGGTTGACCGTGCAGACCATCCCTAGAACTTCCCGCTAATTTCAAATGCAAAGTGCTCCAATTTTAACACCTATGTACTCGTAGTCTGTGGACAATCTGTGATTGTTGTTTACATCGAACCGAGTGTTTTGGCGGTAAATTCAAAACCATTAAAAATAAATTCAACTTTAATTAGTAAAAAAAGACATTATAGTCAAACTATCTAAGAAATACATTTTGACAGCTGTCAGACTTATTGCACCAAGCTTGCCAACCAAAAAAATAAGAACGTACAATATTCGATTGTTAAAAAAATCGATATCGATTATTTAGAGTTGGTAATCATTTACAGTTTGGTTTGAATAATACCAGAATAAATTAAAAGCGGATAATTTATAACACAAGATGCAAATTTTATAACACAATAAGCAGTAACAAAAAATTCTTCGAATTTTTTGTTACTGCTTATTTCTATATATATAGAGGCACAGTTATAAAAATTTAAGATTAAAACTGGGTTAAAAATAAATTTTTTCAATCACTTTCAGTATAGAGTACGACATGTCGTTGTTTATATTAATTATTATTTGATTTGCAATAATGCAGCCATAATCAATGTCTCTTTCAAAGTCATCAATAATCATTTTTTGTTTTTTCTACCACTTTTGCCTAATCATCCTTTGTGACATGGGCACATGCTTCAACGAATTTTTTTGTAGCATTGGGTGACAAACGAGCACACAGTCCACCTGATGGTAAGTGGATGCTATGGCCCATAGACATACACATTTACCCTCAATTAAGAATCAAAATGCAAATGCGTTGTCACCGCTGAGGACTAAGATGGAATGCCTCGATTCCAGTAAAAAGGGTCCCCGGCTCTCTAAGCTCACCATATGAAACACATCTTCATTACGCAGCTATTTTACGCTGGTATTCTGTGAGAGCATGGTCCTGCCCTGGTTGAGCCGACTCATTCGTGCTACAACTATAATATAGATGTAGCGTGGCTCTACCGCGTACAAAAAGTATTATAGAAGAAACAGTCCAAAAAGTTAAAACCGAGTCACAAAATAAGAAGACAAACACAAAATTACGCACAGTAAGCTCTCGAAACAGAAACAGAAACTTTTTTTTATTCAATATGTTATGTTCTTATTGAAAGTCACTTTTTTAATTTACCACTGGTTCGCAAAAAAACCTCTGTCCTGAGAAGAACCAGCAAGAAACCCAACGGGACTAGTTTAAAAAAAAGAGCTTACAATCATGTGTGTTACAATTAACAACACAAAACAAATTAGAAATAGCTTGGTAGCGATCACCCTTCCCAGGGGTTATTATCATCCATAAATTCCTCAATATTAAAATAACCCTTTTTATACAAACTTTGTTTAATAAAGTTTTTGAACTTTGTGTACTTACGTCAAATTTTGTATATTTTCTGGCATTTTGTTATAAAAGCGTATTATACATCGCCTCAAAAATGAATTACAGATTCTGTGGAGTCGAGTAACTAGTACCGAAATGGCGGGATATTGAAATAGTGGTTATTAAAGCACTGCCTTTTTTTCTTCAAATTAAATTAAACAAATAATACATTAAAGAAATTAATGTTTATCTAATATTATTATTATTATAGAATATTTTTACCGATTATTTGAATATTTTTCCGATTATTCGCATAACAATGAATTTTAATCATCCAAACACTACGGTAATATACCTAGTCAGGTCATAAGTATTGTCACACAGTAAAAACTTTTTGAATGTTGGCCTTTTATTGAATTCGATTTTTGAAAATAAAACCGTATACTTTTTAGAATTTTACTCATTTTTAAATATGGAGTGGACGCTTAAAGAAGACCATGTTGCAGTTAATGCGTTGCATCGTTGCGGTTACGCGCCAATTCAAATTTTTGACATACTGAAAAATTTGAATATAACTAAAAGATTCGTTTATCGTACCATCAAACGATACAATGGACACTCTAGTGTAGATGACAGGTCAAGAAGTGGTCGCCCTCGGTCTGTTAGAACTCCAGCAGTGATAAAAGCTGTGAAGGCGCGAATTCAAAGAAATCCCAAACGTAAGCAGAAACTGTTGGCCGTTCAGATGGGATTAAGCAGAACCACGGTGAAAAGGGTGTTAAATGAAGACTTAGGGCTTCGGGAATATCGAAGAAAAACAGGACATCGTTTGAATGCTCGTCTAATGGACCTGAGACTGAAGAGATGCCGCGCTTTGTTGAAGCGGTACGCGGGAAAAAAATATCGGGAAATTCTTTTTTCGGATAAAAATTTTTTTACCGTAGAAGAGAGCTACAACAAACAAAATGATAAGGTGTACGCACACAGTAGTGAAGAAGCGAGTAACCGTATTCCGCGTGTCCAACGAGGTCATTTTCCATCCTCGCTCATGGTATGGTTGGGAGTTTCTTATTGGGGCTTAACAGAGGTACATTTTTGTGAGAAAGGTGTAAAAACGAATGTAGTAGTGTATCAAAATACAGTCCTAACGAACCTTGTGGAACCTGTTTCTCATACCATGTTCAATAACAGGCACTGGGTATTCCAACAAGATTCGGCGCCAGCTCATAGAGCGAAGAGCACACAAGACTGGCTGGCGGCGCGTGAAATCGACTTCATCCGGCACGAAGACTGGCCCTCCTCCAGTCCAGATTTGAATCCGTTAGATTACAAGATATGGCAACACTTGGAGGAAAAGGCGTGCTCAAAGCCTCATCCCAATTTGGAGTCACTCAAGTCATCCTTGATTAATGCAGCCGCCGATATTGACATGGACCTCGTTCGTGCTGCGATAGACGACTGGCCGCGCAGATTGAAGGCCTGTATTCAAAATCACGGAGGTCATTTTGAATAAACTTTAGTGTCATAAGAATCTATGTTTTGTTAAGTTCATTTTGGTATATAAATGGTTACATAATGAATAAAATTGTTTCAATTATTTTATATTAAACATGTGACAGAATTTATGACCTGACTTTTTTTTCGGGTTTTTTTTTTTGTTTTTCTTTTTCGTTATCTCGACTCGTTTCCTGATCTTTTCTGAATAGAATAACTTTTAAATTTGTCCGATAGAATTACTTTACCTGTTAAATAAATCAGAAATAAAGCAATAAAGCAGCGCTATTACAATGTAATTTTACTACGTTTTTTTATAGAATAAGAGTGACAAACGAGCACACAGTCCATGTGACGTTAGTGGTAAGTGGATGCTGTGGTTCGTAGATATTTACATTTATCCTTGATTAAGAATCAAAATGCGATGTGCTGCGCCTCTGTTTAAGTAAAAAGGGTCTCCACTTCTATACACTCACCATACGTTACATAGCAGTATAAAGCTGTTATTTTACGTTGGTATTCTGTGAGAGTGTGGTCCTTCTCCGGTCAAGTCGACTCACTTGTGCTACAACCATAATATAGCGTGGTTCTACTATGTATAAAGTCAGTTTCATAGAAGTTCCTCTGGGGAGTTTTGACAGGATGATGAGCTAGAAATGAATTTAAATGAAATAAAAGCGCGTGCGCAGGTACTGGTTCCCGCGGCGGCGTCGGGGCGCGCTCCACTGGCTCGCCGTGCGGCGCTGCGCGTGTTTTGCCGCGACCGCCCGCCCGTCGGCGGTATCTCCGTCAAGGAGCACTTCGAAGTCAACATCGTGCCCATACGCATCGGTACGTGCCCGCGGACTCGTCATATCAAGCGTGTTGCTCTCCTATTAAAGTTTATTGTTGGTCCTTCATGAGCTGCATACTAAAGGATTCGTTAAATGTATATTATTGCTTTTAATGTTATTTAATTTTAAGACCCTCATTGATTTAATTTGTGCAATATCATTTGTCATACTAAAATTTTAAATGATAATAACAATTTAAGCCTTATTCGATGCGCTACTATAAAACATGTGCTTTTTTGTTCCGGAGAAATTCATTTTACTTCGTATTATTTACAAATGTAACTTTTTAGATTTTAAATATCTCCTATAACGGTGAACGAATTCTCAATAGCAATAAAAATAATTATCAGGGTTAACAAAGAAGTTCTTCAACACGATGCTGAAGTTCTGCTTCCCCGAGCGCGACCCTGAGGCAATGGAGGAGGGTGAGGAGGAGGGCGAGCGTGGCACGCTGCCCGCCGCCACCAAGAAGAGAAGCAAGAAGCGCGACTCCAACTCTAACTTCTATGTCAAGCGCGACAACAAGGACAAGGATGACGTCGAGAAGATGAAGGTACGAAAAAGAGAAAACTAGAATACTATCCTTTTCTATGTTTACTTTTATTTATATTTTGTTGTTATATATTTTACCAGCCCTATTGTTTTTTAAACCTCAAAGCAACCTTTAAAGATCGCTAATCTGTTCTGCTAACCATGTTGCTTGATCAGGAGCGTGCGGAGAAGAACAAGCTGTTCATCTACATCAAGATCCCGGAGGTGCCGGTGCGCGTGTCGTACAAGGGCAGCAAGGAGAAGAATCTGGAGGACGTGCGCGACCTGCCGCTGGTGCTGCCCACGCTGGAGTACCACAACGTCACCTGGACCTGGCTCGACCTGCTGCTCGCCACCAAGAACGACACCAGGCGGTAACACCACACCCAACACTAACAACAGTTTTATCTAGATTTCAATTGTATTGTTAAGGGAGTGAGCACCTGTTTTATGATCATAATACGTGTGAAACTCTAGTTTGACTCCCAACGGTATTACTAAATTATATAATCGTAATTTTAAGTGCTTATATTTGGAAACTTTTATATCTCTGAATTTTAAAACATTTCATGGAAATTTGTAGCGAATGTCATGCCACATTAGTGTAAAAGAAGCGTCTCTTTCTTTACTCCATATACGTCTTCGAAATAGGATGGGTTTTGTGTCCAGGTAATAGAACGTATGTAGACCTTACTTTTTACTTTTACCACGAGTAGATTAAAGTAACTTTACAAAGTTCATCGTGTTTAATTATGTATATTATTTTTTTTTTATATATATATATATATATTGTGGAGTGACGATCTGGTAAGAGATGCCGGAAATTGATGGATACAAGTAGCTCAGGGTCGTGCTTTGTGGCAATCCTTGGGTGAGGCCTATGTTCAGCAGTGGACTTGTGATGGGCTGTAATGATGAATGTTTTTCTCACGAGAGTGGTCCCTTTCTGTTTTGTTATTTTAAGATGCTTATAGAAATATTGAATAATTAGTTAAATAAGTTGTTGATTTGTCATGTTTTGTGGTGAGTGAAACTTTTGAGGATATGTTGAAATGTGCCAAGTCGTAGCTATGCGGCGCACTAAATTGCTTCATAATCTTCTCAGACATGACAGTAGCTTAGTCCTCTGGGATATGTGCCATATATGTAGGTTGTATATACGTATATTTGACTGCCTCATTGGTCTAGTGGTTGTAAACGCAACTGCTGATTATGAGGGCCCCGGTACATATCTCGGGTTGGGCCATTAATCAGTTATTGTTAAAAAAGACAAGTATGTTGGCTGTGTTGCACTTTCGTGCCTTGGAAAGCAAGTAAAACGGTAGTCTTATGTCTGATACAGATTGTCGCAACATGATTCTAATGTAGTGGATGATCTTTTTTACCGTCTGCAATAGGGTGTAACATGTGAACGGAGTAGAAGCTTATGGCATTTTTTGTAAAGTATCAGTGAAATTAATTAAAATCTATTGAAATTCAAATCATATCCTCCCTACTTTACGAACCGCAATAAAACAATAAATTTAGTAGGCATCTTTGACCTTGTCACTTCGCGGGGTCACAGGCTCAAGAGCAAAGGGCAAAATGATTGTTGAAAAATTTGCGAACGTTTAATTCAACATTTTTTTTTGTAAAACATCAGTGTTATAGCTATAGGCTTCACATGTTACACCCTATTTTTCCAGATGGTAAAAAAGGTCATCCAGTATGTAAAAAATAAGTGAGATCTGTGTTATTAGTCGATTTTATATTAAAGATATGTGTGATGCGGGAAACTGGCGAGCTTTTCCAAGATTACTTCTATGTTTATGTACTTTAAGTATTTTTAGTCTGTTCACTTTTTTCGAGACGGTACGTGTGTTGGCAGGGTGATCCTGTCGCAGGCCATCCGGCAGAAACTGCAGCTGGGGCGTCGCGCGGCCGCGGCGCCCGAGCCGCACGAGGAGGACAAGGTGCGCCTGCTGCTGGGCGAGCGTACGGTGAGCACCACTTCTCTACTCACTCCGCCCACCCCTCTCCGCTGTTCGCGCGCAACAACTGACGTGCACATGCCTACGATTGACCACCCCGGACAACTTACATAAAATGCCTACTGAAGGTGCAATACGAGCACAAAATCTACCTGATTGTAAGTGGTGGCTGACTCAAAAACATCACATCTGTTCTCGATTATTAATTAGAATGCAGATGCGTTGTTACCCCAGAAGACTAAGCTCGAATGCCTCGTTACCAGTAAAAATGTCTCTGGCCATCATTCACCATTTAGAACACAGCAGTGTAAAAAACATAACAAAGTCAGAGACTGATATGTGTACTTCTAGAGAGGCTCGGCGGCTTTAATACATTGCGCGCTAAGTTGCGGTCAATTCTCCGTAACTCCTTTAGTCGACTGCGAGCGGGCGACAAACTAGTACTTTGTTTTGTAAACCGCGAATGTAGTTTTTGACACACAAAAACACTGCTATTTTGTTTAATGTGACTAAGAATTATTTATCAATTTATATAATTTATTATTTATCTACGCACTTCGTCAACGTGATTTGAAATTTATTTCAGATAAGAAGATATGTAATTTTATTTTGTATTTGCCTGTAAACAGTAACGTTCCTAAATCTAAATACAACTGTGTTGCATATTTACAATGTTAGCCCAACTTGCGCTTAAGTGATTCACAATAATGACATTTTTTGTTCGGAATTACCGACCTACTAGGCTGCACTAAAAGTGTCGGGAATGGAATATTTCCACTGTTCCTGTCATATTAAAAGATTTTTAATTGAATACTCCGTGGTTTTAATAATCGAATACCATTTATTTATTTAAAAAAGATTCTCGGTCTTGTCACAAGGTTTTGTCAAACTTGTTTAGTCGTTGAGAAAATGGAATTGACTCGAGAAAATTCAAGAGCGATGATGATTATCACTTTCGAGGTGGTTTAACACAAAACAGTCTGTTGACCGGATGATTTCTGCATTTGGTGATGAAGCCCCATCCAAAACCACAATTTATCGCTGGTTTACTGAATTTCAACGTGGACGTGTCAAGCTCAGTGATGATCCCCGTCAAGGTCGTCCAAAAACAGCAGTCACCCAAAAAAACGTTGATGCTGTGCGTAAGCTGCTTGAGGAAGATCGACATGTGACATACCGCTAAATTCAGGCAACTTTAGACATTGGCATGAGTCAAATACAAATAATCTTGCATGAACAAAATGTTATTTTCCCGTAAAAATGTTATTTTTCCGTGTAAAAAAAGTTATTTTCCCGATGGATACCGCATTCGCTCTGTGAAGAGCAAAAAGCTCGCGTTACTTGGTGCGTCAGAACTCTCGAAAGATTCCACGCAGGATCCTCAAATGCTGTATACAACATCGTATCAGGTGACGAATCCTGGATATTACTCGTACAAACCCGAAACAAAAAACCAGTCACGATTTTGGGTGTTCGAAAAAGAGTTAAAGCCGACAAAAATTGTTCGTTCACGGAGTGTTGCAAAAAAAAATGGTGGCCACGTTTGTCTCCAAAACCGGCCATGTTACGACTATTCCTCTTGATGGACAAAGAACGGTTAATGCAGAATGGTACGCTAGCATTTGTTTACCACAGGTCGTTTCTGAACTCCGTAAAGAGAACTGCAACCGCCGCATCATCCTCCATCACGACAATGCGAGTTCTCACACCGCACACAGAACAAAAGAGTTTTTAGAGCAAGAAAACATAGAATTATTAGACCATCCGCCGTACAGCCCCGACCTAAGCCCTAATGATTTCTATACCTTTCCTAAAATAAAGAATTAATTGCGTGGACAGAGATTTTTATCACCTGAAGAAGCTGTGGACGTCTACAAAACGGCCATTTTGGAGACCCCAACTTCCGAATGGAATGGTTGCTTCAATGGTTGGTTCCATCGTATGGAAAAATGTGTTAAATTTCGCGGAGAATACTTCGAAAAGCAATAAATACATTTTTAAATAGTAATGTTGTGTCACTTCTTTGATTCCCGAAATTTTCAGTGCTGCCCTCGTAGTATTTACTATACATAGAAGAATCTGACACCTTGAATCCTAAGTACAAAAATTGGTAGTAGAGTATTTCATCACCAGTATGGTATCGGCTATACGCCCACTAACCCAGCATGGTGGGGATGGTCCATTACAAAAATTGGTAGTAGAGTATTTCATCACCAGTGATGGTATCGGCTCTACGCGCACTAACCCAGAATGGTGGGGATGGTCCATTACAAAAATTGGTAGTAAAGTATTTCATCACCAGTGCAGTATCGGCTCTACACGCACTAATCTAGAATGGTGGCGATGGTCCATTACGAAAATTGGTAGTAAAGTATTTCATCACCAGTGCAGTATCGGCTCTACACGCACTAATCTAGAATGGTGGGGATGGTCCATTACAAAAATTGGTAGTAAAGTATTTCATCACCAATGCAGTATCGGCTCTACACGCACTTATCTAGAATGGTGGGAATGGTCCATTACAAAAATTGGTGGTAAAGTATTTCATCACCAATGCAGTATCGGCTCTACACGCACTAATCTAGAATGGTGGGGATGGTCCATTACAAAAATTGGTAGTAAAGTATTTCATCACCAATGCAGTATCGGCTCTACACGCACTAATCTAGAATGGTGGCGATGGTCCATTACAAAAATTGGTAGTAAAGTATTACATCACCAATGCAGTATCGGCTCTACACGCACTAATCTAGAATGGTGGGGATGGTCCATTACAAAAATTGGTAGTGAAGTATTACATCACCAATGCAGTATCGGCTCTACACGCACTAATCTAGAATGGTGGGGATGGTCCATTACAAAAATTGGTAGTAAAGTATTACATCACCAATGCAGTATCGGCTCTACACGCACTAATCTAGAATGGTGGGGATGGTCCATTACAAAAATTGGTAGTAAAGTATTTCATCACCAATGCAGTATCGGCTCTACACGCACTAATCTAGAATGGTGGGAATGGTCCATTACAAAAATTGGTAGTAAAGTATTTCATCACCAATGCAGTATCGGCTCTACACGCACTAATCTAGAATGGTGGGGATGGTCCATTACAAAAATTGGTAGTAAAGTATTTCATCACCAATGCAGTATCGGCTCTACACGCACTAATCTAGAATGGTGGGGATGGTCCATTACAAAAATTGGTAGTAGAGTATTTCATCAGCAATGCAGTATCGGCTCTACACGCACTAATCTAGAATGGTGGGGATGGTCCATTACAAAAATTGGTAGTAGAGTATTTCATCACCAGTACGGTATCGGCTCTACGCTCACTAACTCAGCATGGTGGGGATGGTCAATTACAAAAATTGGTAGTGGAGTATTTCATCACTAGTACGATATCGGCTTTATGCTCATGCATGGTGGGGGACACCCAAGTAATGCATGCCAGCCGCTGTATCACTGGAAAGGCCCAAGGCCAGCGGTGAACTTAAAAGTCAGTTAATGCGACATTCGTAAACATATTAATAGATCCGCTATGTTTTTTTTTTAGGTGGCTGAAAACAAACCACAGAAGAAGAGCACGCCGAGTGTATTCAAATTCTCCAAATCCTAGCGCTAGTGATATACCGAAGCATTTGCTAGTAATGTACCAAAAAGACTCGATTATATTCCTTTTTTGGTCTAGTGTAGTATGGTAGTTTTAATTAAGTATTTATATATTTATTTACATTAGTAGAACTTTTGCAACCTTTTTTATTTTATTAGCGCATTATTTACTTTTCTCTTTGTTTAAATATTTTTAACGTATTTTTTTGTTCCGGGCTCCTTGCTCGGAAATTTACTAAAATTACTGCTTAAAAGTAATGCCTGTTTTTTTAGTGTGGCAATAATCGGTGTATGTATTATAATATATTATCTGCAAACAAATAATAATCATTAAAAATATTAATGAAAATACCGTTCCTTTATTCCGTCACCTATTTTGCTCAGAGGTATATTTTATTGTTTACTCAAGAAACATATTATTTATTTATTAACCGACTTCGAACAAGTTAGTAGTATTTTTTAATGTAACTGATTTCTACTTTTTAATTATGAGTGTTCCTTCATGGTGATCCCATAGTTAAAATCACAGAGTATTTTATATTTACTACCATTCTATAGAATACTATAGTGTAAATCTGATCAAATGATAATCATGGGAAATTTTTCTTGTTTTAGTTGCAATTTATTTTATTATGTACCTAATATTTCTTTTTAGAAAAATCCTTTTAATTCGCACACAATAAGAGGACTTTTAAACTTCAATTTTGTTTCGCATTACGCACTAACTTCAATTACGTTGTATAGGTGTGCAGTAAATTAACAACTTCTCTGTCCGCGAAAAAGACACAATAGTTAAACAATGGAAATATTTATATATGACTCACGTGACAGCGAAATCTCATATATAAAATTAAGATAAGTTTGTTAGTAATTTTGCGCTGCCATACTGGTCATCAGATTGCGGTGAAATTTTGTCAACTTATTGCTTGTACTTAATATAAATAAACTTATTGTAGGTGGCGCGTGTATCGTACCGACAAATGTATATAAAAGTTATTAATAATTTTACTTCACATCAATGTATGTATGTATTATTATTCCTAAATAAACAATATAACCCTTTCAAATTTAAAATTATATATTCTGCGTCTGCAGCCTCACAACGCGCCGGATACCAACTAGTAGTTAATACGAAATACATTTATAAATATGTTACATTCATTTGAGTTGTTATTAATTTTATGTTGTGATAGCAATTTGTTATAATTTCCTCAAAATAAACAAAATTATGTTTTTGTTTATTTTGTCCTGAACCGTTACTAAACGTTACAATGAATGTAGTTGTCTATTTCCATCTTGCGCGCATGGCATATAAATGTTAACACGATTTGACTTTGCAGGGAGGTAGATATTTCTAAATTTAGAAGAACTAAGATTCCTAGAACGCCTTATTTAAAAAGTCATAGGCTATAAATTTACATCACGTAATGTGACTATGGGAATTCCTATTGTAGCTCAATGTTCGGGTCTTTCTGGTTGCTAAGAGGAAGGTCTATTTTGGAGTTTAAAACGTGAAAATATTATGAAAATTTTTGGGTTGCCTTAATATGTCTAAGTAATTATTAAAGAGCATTTTAGATTTGTAATATTCGTTTAATTATGAGAATTATTCTAACGGTTTAAATACAATTACTGAAGGTTAATGGACCTCGTTACTTTGTAGAGGATTTCTCTAAAATATCTGGAAAAATTAAAGGTAGAATTCCATTCATTATTTTCAAGGTTTATAATAAAATAAAAAATGATAAAAGGATTGCTCATTATAAAAGACATTGATAATTTATTTAAAAAAATTATATTTTTGTTATTAGAAGATGAAAAAACAATATCAAAAAAACGTCAAATCAGAAGAAAAATTTCCCGCCGCGTAAACTCAAATTTTACAAAACATTTAATAATTCTATTAAATGTTTTGTTGGTAATTTAAAAACTATTGTATTGTAGAAAACACTATCTATTTTGCTTTTTCTACAGTTATATATGTAGAATTTAAATTGAAAAGTATTTATAATTGCTTTTGTTCATTAAGCTATTGACTAAACAACTGGATGTTACTTTTGCCTTTATATTAGACCGGCAAGTGGTAGGTATATACTACAGTAGTTGGTTCATATTTTTATATTACCACTAATTTTGGTGGGTGTGTATTGTCTTTATATTTATACATAAGCGAAGTATTTTGTACGTTATTTGTTAAATTGTAAACACGAACACATTGTAAACTATTTATAGATAATATATATTGTTGATTAAACACATTTTGATGTATATTGTGTTTTATTTTTCTATTTGATCCTTATTATGTCTTGTAATATGACAAAACGGTACAACTGGCTCGGCAGTCTAAATACATACACTGGCGACGGGCAGTAGAATTAAAGGTGCGTAATGTGGTAGGTACTATGTTTGTCAATCCGCCTGGCCAGCATGCCCATAAAGGCATATCCTCCCTATTACGCGAGAGGAGCATGTCCAGCTTTGACAGGCTGATGATGAAGAAAAATAGAACTTAAAATACCAAGATTTTATCACATTACATATTTCATACATTCATGCACACAATCACAAGTCGCAAGAGCCTTAAGAGAATTTATATGGAAGTCCGAAAGAGACTTTTAATAATAATTTAAAGAAATTAGTATATCAAGTTTGGCCTTTCATTCAATCAAACAATAATCTTGAACGCATACGAAGCCGAGTGTTTTTTACATTAACGTATAGTAAGCCAACTATGGCAGATTGAAAAACAGACACCTTAGAAGGTATGAAGCATACAATTTGATTTTTTTAATACGTTTTTCTTACCATTATTTATTCATTTCATTGCTATTACTTAAACATATTGTTTTTATCAAAATCGATAAAAACATCCTACTTTTTGATTCCAGTGGCATTGATTCCCTTGGTATTTACACCAGGGTTATCAAAATTCATGTTGAAAATCCAAAGTTTTTTCTGATTTTCTGTAAAAAAAGAAAGTTTTCGTATTATTTCTTACACATATATTTATTTTTCATATCGAGTGACGTGCAGTTTCATGGTTACTTGGAAGAGAAGGCCAAATTGGCCTTTAAAAAGCTTGGCGTGCTCAGGAGAGCGGGACAGTATTTCAAGCCGGCACAACGCTTGCAACTTTAGCCTCACATGGAATACTGTTCCCATCTCTGGGCCGGGGGTCCCCAGTACCGGCTCCTTCCATTTGATCGCATTCAGCGCAAAGCCGTTCGAATCGTCGGCGACCGAGCTCTTTCCGATCTGCTTGACTCACTGGTAATGCGAAGAGGTGTTGTGTCTCTTTGCGTATTTTATCGCATTTACCAGGAGGAGTGGTCTGAGGAATTGTTCGGATCAATCCCAGCCGTCAAATTTCATGAACGCACAGCGCGGCAAAACTTCCGATATCATCCACACCATTTGGATGACTAGCGGTCCACCACTGTGTGATTTAAAAGAAGTTTTCTTCCTCGCACAACTTCCTTGTGGATTCGACTACCACCAGAGATTTTTCCGGACCGATACGATTCAGGAACCTTGATTTTCTTATAAATCTTGTTTCAATTTTGATTCTCTTGTATTTTATTGTTTCCCCTAGCCAAAAAAAATAAGATAAAATGCTATATTTTGGGAACCATCCGGCCAAAAGTGATGCCTATTCGTTAAATGTGTATATAATTAAGTTAATTTTTATGTTACACTGTTACTTATAAAAACTCTGTTCAAATTAATTTCGCCAAGGGAATCAATTAAATATTCCGAATCTCAGGATTCACCCACAGAATAAAATTTGCTATAATATTCTCAATAAATAATAGAGTAAGTGTCGCAAGGATTTTACTTGTTATTGTTTCTTTATTTTTGATATAAAACAAACAAATAGATTGTAAAAATAAGAATTTTATTTATTTGGTGCCTTTCGTCCTTCGTGGACTGACTGGCTGTAAGTCAAAGATTTTAAATATCTTAAGATCCTTGCCTCTACCTCTTCCTCTACCTCTAATTAAATCATGGTGTTTTGCCAAGGCTGTCCACGGGAACTTCTGTCAACCATCTCTGACCCATGCCTCAAAGGAGAAAATCGATCATTTAGGTTCTCATTTTGCGTTCAACTTGACTCTCGATGGCAGGGGGTACTCACCGCTGATCATCTCAGTGTAAGTGCTCCATGTTGAATGTATGGTTTACACAGCGCTCAGTGTGCAAAGCACTATTCTCCCTGGACGTCAATCAGGCAAGCTGGAAGCCAGTCAGTTCACGAAGGACGAAAGACACCAAATAATTAAAATTCTTATTTTTACAAACTCTTTGTTTTGTATCAAAAATAATAAAAGAATAACAAGTAAAATGATTGCGACACTTACTCTATTATTTATTAAGAATATAATAGCAATTTTTTTCTGTACACATAATTAAGTGGTGCTTGCAAAGGCAAGCTCAGCACCCTGTTGCACCTTGCGCCCAGACTCTAGCCTTAGCCAGTGAGTAAATCAGGCCCTGACGCTTGCTTTTGTACATTAAATACATTAATTTTTTCTAAATTTACAGAAAGGCCAAAATTGATATAGGTATTCATTTCATTAAATTGTTATCAAAAGTCTCTTTCGGACTTCGGTTATGAAGTCTCCTAAGGCTCTCTTCTGTAGAACAAAGACAGCTTCAATATCAGTTCTAATATAACGTTGCTAAATTCCATACGACATTATGCTATGGAAATAACTTAAATAAACTAACCAAGCTGTTTCGTCACATGTAAGACTTAATATTTATTTTTTAATTTTAAGCGTTTGCACGTGCAGTAGAGAAATGAGTAGATCTAAAAATAGCATTTTCTTTAGAGTGGATTTTGATAAACTTAAAAGTGGCGCCTATCGTATTGACTTCACCTCTTAATTTAAATCAACTTGTATTGACGATAAAGTCTCTATCCTTTAATAATATAGTTTTTACTCTGTACAATAACCTTGCTCCCAAACATCAGGTAAGAGAGAAGCGTTCACCAGCCCTGTTGAT